CCATGTGCAGTCAGTCTTTACAGCAATGCCTGCAAGCGCCCGCGACACGAACTTCGTATATCGCGGTCTAAAGGTACCTTAACCTGGGCAGTTCTGCACAAACTATACCTTGTTCGGAAGCTTGCGATGAGGTTCACAAGCTGGCGAAAGGACAGGTCCTGATACCCAGCAGTTGCGGAGAAAATTCAAGATTTAGCGCCTCAATTCCAGTAGTACCCCTATGTGCAGTCTGTCTTTACAGCAATGTCTGCAAGCGCCCGAGACACGAACTTCGTATATCGCAGTCTAAAGGTACAATAACCTGGGCAGTTCTGCACAAACTATACCTTGTTCGGAAGCTTGTGATGAGGCCCACCAGCTGGGGAAAATGACAGATCCTGATACCCACCAGTTGCGGAGACAATTCAAGATTTAGCGCATCAATGCCAGTAGTACCCCTAGGTGCAGTCAGTCTATACAGCAATGGCTGCAAGCTCCCGCGACACGAACTTCGTATATTGCGGTCTAAAGGTACCTTAACCTGGGCAGTTCTGCACAAACTATACCTTGTTCGGAAGCTTGTGATGAGGCCCACAAGCTGGCAAAAGGACAGGTCCTGAAACCCAGCAGTTGCGGAGAAAATTCAAGATTTAGCGCATCAATGCCAGTAGTACCCCTATGTGCAGTCAGTCTATACAGCAATGCCTGCAAGCGCCCGCGACACAAACTTCGCATATCTCAGTCTAAAGGTACCTTAACCTGGGCAGTTCTGCACAAACTATACCTTGTTCGGAAGCTTGCGATGAGGCCCACAAGCTGGCAAAAGGACAGGTCCTGATACCCAGCAGGTTCCGGAGAAAATTCAAGATTTAGCGCCTCAATTCCAGTAGTACCCCTATGTGCAGTCAGTCTATACAGCAACGGCTGCAAGCTCCCGCGACACGAACTTCGTATATTGCGGTCTAAAGGTACCTTAACCTGGGCAGTTCTGGACAAACTATACCTTGTTCGGAAGCTTGCGATGAGGTTCACAAGCTGGCGAAAGGACAGGTCCTGATACCCAGCAGTTGCGGAGAAAATTCAAGATTTAGCGCCTCAATTCCAGTAGTACCCCTATGTGCAGTCTGTCTTAACAGCAATGTCTGCAAGTGCCTGAGACACGAACTTCGTATATTGCGGTCTAAAGGTACCTTAACCTGGGCAGTTCTTCACAAACTATACCTTGTTCGGAAGCTTGTGATGAGGCCCACCAGCTGGGAAAAAGAACAGGTCCTGAAACCCAGCAGTTGCGGAGACAATTTAAGATTTAGCGCATCAATGCCAGTAGTACCCCTATGTGCAGTCAGTCTATACAGCAATGGCTGCAAGCTCCCGCGACACGAACTTCGTATATCGCGGTCTAAAGGTACCTTAACCTGGGCAGTTCTGCACAAACTCTACCTTGTTCGGAAGCTTGTAATGAGGCCCACAAGCTGGCAAAAGGACAGGTCCTGAAACCCAGCAGTTGCGGAGAAAATTCAAGATATAGCGCATCAATGCCAGTAGTACCCCTATGTGCAGTCAGTCTATACAGCAATGCCTTCAAGCGCCCGCGACACGAACTTCGTATATCGCGGTCTAAAGGTACCTTAACCTGGGCAGTTCTGCACAAACTATACCTTGTTCGGAAGCTTGTGATGAGGCCCACAAGCTGGCAAAAGGACAGGTCCTGAAACCCAGCAGTTGCGGAGAAAATTTAAGATTTAGCGCATCAATTCCAGTAGTACCTCTATGTGTAGTCTGTCTATATACAGCAATGCCTGCAAGCGCCGACCACCGTTGGAAAAACCTAACTATTTTCAACTACTGCTCCAAATTTACGAATTTTTTTTCAGTCCAAATTTTGTTTGCTATTGGTTACATGATCATGAACGGGTGCAGGCCAGTTAGACCCTGGTTAGACTGGTTCCATTACCTTACAATTTTCCGGCATCTATAAATTGATCCATTTCATCTTTAGTGGAGTCAAGGAACCAGACTGCTTGAACATTTTTGTTTTTCTTGGTTTTTCCAGTATTTTCGAACACAAAAACTTCAAACATGTCAGTGTAATAATATTTGATCTGTTATACTAACCCCTCAAATAGTTCATTTCTGAAAATTACAGCAAAAGCCAATGATGTACATTCCCTTTACCGATGGAACAAATTCATTCCAATAAATCCTAAGCCGGAAATTCCTATTTCTGATGAAAAATGTTTGTTTTGCCTGAATTTTAGCCTCGGTATGAAATTAATTGGGCTGAGACTGTTTCAATACCAATTTATTCGGGGCGCTTATAAAATAAACTTTGAAAGTCATTTCACCCTCCTATCCATTCAGATCTGAATACTTTTGTAATTAACGATGGAACAATATCGTTTGAAAATACGGCTTTCCGTTTCAATCAATGTCAATGGCTGGCAAAAAGCATGATCTCCGTCTTATTATTAAATTAATTGGGCTGTGCTTTTTAACGAACAGATTTTCTCGGTGCGCTTATAAAATCTTTGTTGATCATCTCTTTGAAGGATTGTTAAAAAAATGAAATTTCTGTCATTAACGATGGAACAAATTCATTCCAAAGCCGGAAATCCGTATTTCTGATGAAAAATGTTTGTGTTGCCTCAATTTTAGCCTCAGTATGAAATTAATTGGGCTGACACTGTTTCAGTTCGGATTTATTCGGGGCACGATTACAATACACTTTGGATGTCCCTTAACCCGTGTATGTAATTGGAACGGGACATTTCGGACATTTAGGATGGTACAAAATCATTTCAAAATGGGATATCCGTATTTTCATTGGAAAACCGTTGTTTTGTATCGTAATTATCAATCGTCGGATCAATTTAATTGGGCTGACACTGTTTCAATGCCGATTTATTCGGGGCGCGAATAGAATACACTTTGAATGTCCCTTAACCCTTGTATGCAATTGGAACGGGACATTTCGGACATTTAGGATAGTACAAAATCATTTCTAAATGGGATATCCGTATTTTCTTTGGAAAACGGCTGTTTTGTTTCGTAATTATCAATCGTCGGATAAATTTAATTAGGCTGACACTGTTTCAATGCCGATTTATTCGGGGCGCGAATAGAATACACTTTGAATGTCCCTTAACCCTTGTATGCAATTGGAACGGGACATTTCGGACATTTAGGATAGTACAAAATCATTTCAAAATGGGATATCCGTATTTTCTTTGGAAAACGGCTGTTTTGTTTCGTAATTATCAATCGTCGGATTAATTTAATTGGGCTGACACTGTTTCAATACTGATTTATTCGGGGCGCGAATAGAATACACATTGGATGTCCCTTAACCCCTGTATGCAATTGGAACGGATATTTCGGACATTTAGGATGGTACAGAATCATTTCAAAATGGGATATCCGTATTTTCTTTGGAAAACTGCTGTTTTGTTTCGTAATTATCAATCGTTGAATTAATTTAATTGGGCTGACTCTGTTTCAATACCAATTTATTCGGGGCGCAAATGGAATACACTTTGGATGTCCCTTAACCCGTGTATGTAATTGGAACGGGACATTTCGGACATGTAGGATGGTACAAAATCATTTCAAAATGGGATATCCGTATTTTCTTTGGAAAACCCTTGTTTTGTATCGTAATTATCAATCGTCGGATCAATTTAATTGGGCTGACACTGTTTCAATGCCGATTTATTCGGGGCGCGAATAGAATACACTTTGGATGTCCCTTAACCCGTGTATGTAATTGGAACGGGAAATTTCGGACATTTAGGAATTAGAATGAAACAAAATCATTTCAAAATGGGATATCCGTATGTTATTTGGAAAACCGGTCTTTTGTATCGTAATTATCAACTGTCGGATTAATTTAATTGGGCTTACTCTGTTTCAATACCGATTTATTCGGGGCGCGAATAGAATACACTTTGAGAGTCACTCAACCCGTGTATACAATTGGAACGGGACATTTCGGACATTTAGGATGGTACAAAATCATTTCCAAATGGGATACCCGTATTTTCTTTGGAAAACGGCTGTTTAGTAAGTTAATTATCAATCGTCGGATTAATTTAATTGGGCTGACTCTGTTTCAATACCGATTTATTCGGGGCGCAAATAGAATACACTTTGGATGTCCTTTCACCCGTGTATGCCATTGGAACGGGACATTTCAGACATTTAGGAAGGTACAAAATCATTTGAAAATAGGATATCCGTATTTTCTTTGGAAAACGGCTGTTTTGTACGTTAATTATCAATCGTCGGATTAATTTAATTGGGCTGACACTGTTTCAATACCGATTTATTCGGGGCGCAAATAGAATACACTTGGGATGTCCCTTAACCCGTGTATGCCATTGGAACGGGACATTTCAGACATTTAGGAAGGTACAAAATCATTTCAAAATAGGATACCCGTATTTTCTTTGGAAAATGGCTGTTTTGTACGTTAGTTATCAATCGTCGAATTAATTTAATGGGGCTGACTCTGTTTCAATACCAATTTATTCGGGGCGCAAATAGAATACACTTTGGATGTCCTTTAACCCGTGTATGCCATTGGAACGGGACATTTCGGACATTTAGGATGGTACAAAATCATTTCAAAATGGGATATCCGTATTTTCTTTGGAAAACGGCTGTTTTGTACGTTAATTATCAATCGTTGGATTAATTTAATTGGGCTGACTCTGTTTCAATACCGATTTATTCGGGGCGCGAATAGAATACACTTTGGATGTCCCTTAACCCGTGTATGCAATTGGAACGGGACATTTCTGGCATTTAGGAGGGTACAAAATCATTTTACATTTATTATAATACCTGCGTACGTACGTGTCATAAAAGTATCGTAGAGGGCGCTAAACAACCATGTAGTTTGGGAAAAGAAAATCGCGGCCGGTTCCTGTTTAAACAGGATTCTCATGCCTGGGACCCGGTCCTTTCCGCAACGCAACACTACTCATTACAAGGAGTAGTCTGGCGGATAAAGCGCCCTCTCATCGGCTATAAGGCAGAACCTTAATTCAGTAACGTTAACATTTATAACATTAACATTCCCGATTCTGAAAATATATTGCCACAGTCTTCATTACAATTTACTTTAGAGTCGAATAAACAACAGTTTCAGTTATTTAAGGTAATCCACCGTGATAAGAAGTTGAACTTCCTTTATAATTCGTTTTCTCCTAAGGTATATTTGCAATGACTGTTTAGGGCCACCGTAGTGGCAATCTTCGCGGCGGCGCGCCACCGTAAAAATAGTGCCTAGCCGAAAATCCGGCCCGATTTTCGTGCCAAGATCAGCCTGGTGTTGTTTGTCGGTAAGTTTGCCGGTTAAAATTGTGTTTTTTGGAAGGGATTTGGGGTATAAAAAGCTTCTTGCAGTTTCATTCAATTTATTTGATCAGTCCTAATGGCTTCATATTAATATTTTTAACTGTTTTTTGTTGCGTGAAACTGCTGTGAAATTGAGAAAAAAAATGATGTAATCACCTGACATGCCTGATCTCGGTACGCGGTCTGTATTTTTAATATTGGAGAAGAGTCAGAGCGCCCTCATCGTAGAAAAGTTTGATAATTAAATTCAGTTACACTGTGAGGGCGCTTTATGAAAGATCTCTAATTTGTAGGGACGGGACTGCACACGATTTTTTTAAACTAAATTTAAAAGGGTTGTAAAAATGCCACTTTTGGTAGCTTGAGCAACTCCAGCTTAACAAGCTCATCAGGAATTCGGTGTCAGGTCAACTCGCCCCTTACCGAGTCGCCCCCCTGACCGACTCGCCCCCTGACCGACTCGCCCCTTACAAGCGCGCCCCCTGGCCGACTCGCCCCCTAGCCGACTCGCCCCCTTGCCAACTCCCCTCCTAGCCGACTCGCCCCCTGACCGACTCACCCCCTGACCGACTCGCCCCCTGGAAAATGATGCACCGTAAGGGGACATCGTAAAAAAAAAAAAATAAAGACAGTGGAGGGAAACACAGAGGGTCCAGCAAATCAGCTTTTTTCAAATATACATCATTTATTCTGAAAAATATTTTTTAATGAAACTGAGGACCCAGAGTCGAGATTTACAATTGTAACGTTATGTCATTGACAAACGGTGAACGCGGGTATACCGTACCGGTGGGTGCCGGCACCTGTAGCTGTAGCTGTAACACGTCACAACTCGCGACGCGTCGTATCTTCCATTTCACGAAAGTTGCGATGTGTTGAACGCGTCGTAAGTTCCTTGACAACGGCTTAAAACACGTCGCAAGTTACAACGTGTCTAGTGGTCATCGCAAAATAAGAAGAGTCATTTCTAAGCCAGTTTTATGTCACAAACATTACATTAACGAGATTATAATACCGAGGCAATGTGTGTAAAGTTGTAAATAGAAAATTCATTGAGTAATTATGAATTAGACCGGAATATTAGAGTTGAAATTTCAAAGTAGCTATACAGTCCAATGAGAGCTTGTTTTTCTTCAAAATTGCATCGCACGGCCGCCATTTTGTTTTACGTTTTAACAAATTTCGAGCTGAGATCCGACGACTCTTTGTTGAATATCAGACGACTTTTTACTGTACGCTGACTAAAGACATAAAACAGTCACCGAGTTGTGCTATAAATACACAAACGACGTGTCGCACTTACGACGTGTTTAGTGAAATGGATCGCAGGACGCGTTGCAGCTGCGACGCATCGTAGAGATACGACGTGTCGCAGCGCTGCGATGCATCATAAGTTACGAAGAGTTTGATGAAATCGGGTGCTGGCCTAGGCAAAAAAACAAAAGTAGAATACGATTACATGGCATTCGAAAAAAGGGTACATGTAGGTACCGGTAGGTAGGGAAATTTTTTTTATTTTTGGCCAATTTTTTTTGTGTACGATCATATGGAGGCCTCTACGTGTAGTCAAGGGTAAAAGGTAGAAATAGATGGTTTTGCGTGCTTTTTCTCATTTGTCCCATAAAAAAAAATTAGGGTAGGGGCTGTCCGAATAGGGTAGGTAGGGAAACCGGAAGCAGAACTTTTTTTTTTTTTTGCCCAACATATGTTGAAAACTGATTTGCAGAACTGGCTAATGTAACCCATGGAAAGAATGTAGGTCAACTATGCTTGCCTCCGATTGCACAACAAATGCAACACTAACTGAACACAACTGGTTCCCTGAGGATGTTCCCATTTTGTGACTCAGACCAGTTTGATTTTGTGACTTGACCAGTTTTAAAAATAGGCAAGCCCAAACAGCGCAATACATAAACAAAATTTGTATCCGCTTTTAAAGTCAAGCACACTGTTACCAAAAAAATTGGCATGTCAGGTATTAAAACTTGGCAAGTCACAAAAATGGCCACAACAAGAACACATACATGTACACACACACAAAAATCAGGTTGTATATTTGTTGATGGAGAAATCCAAAACTTGTGTTCTTTTCAGGGATTAGTTGTCTCGTACTTCCAACTTCGGCTCAGAAATGGAGAAGGTTCAACTGGTTGCCGATCCGATCGACTTCCCCAAGGAAGAGGAAAAGATTCTGGAGTTATGGAAGAAACTTGATGCCTTCCAGACGTCCCTGAAACAGTCGAAAGGCAAACCACGGTAAGAACTGAAAGTTCTTCTTTACAGCAACTTTAGAAGTACATTTATGCGGATCCATGTAATTAATCTCTTCTATGACAAAGTGGGTTTTTTTTTCCAGAAAATAACCAGTGGACTCAGATAGTGCTCAGGACAGACCGAGTATACTGTTTGAACAATCAAGAACAATTCTCACCACTTGTTATTTTCAGAAGCACACTTTTTTTAACAGAAGATATTAATTTGATGGTGTAACCGCAAACTTAATACTTAATTGCACTGTTGCATTACGAAAAAGGCCTTTTCACACTAGACAAATCTCGGGATTGATGCTGGGTTGACGCAGTGTTAACAAGCATGCGGTGTTTCACACTTGAAAAATTTCAAACCTGCGCCAACCGTGCGTCGACCCTGAGATTGATTTGGCCCCGGGTTGAACTCACCCCTGCTCCAGACCAGGGTTGAGGTTTTCGACACAGGTTGACTCTCTCACCACGGTTCGAAACAGTAGTAACCGAGCGAAATAAGCTCGGTTTGCACATAACAAGTGTGTAAATATGCAGGTTTGACAGCAGGGTTGAAAAATGAAAAACTCAACCCGACGCGGCACTGGGTTCACCCAGGGTGGAGAGTTCAACCCAGGTTGAGAGGCTCTAGTGTGAAATGACTTAAAGTTAGTTACAAACCACATTTTACCATTTAACAATTGCATGTGTCATTGGCAACAACAAGCAAGTGTCATTCCAAAGAACTGCAATATATGATACATCTGTTTTGCAGCTATGCCTTCTATGATGGTCCACCGTTCGCCACCGGCCTGCCCCACTACGGCCACATTCTGGCCGGTACCATCAAGGACATAGTGACCAGGTATGCCCATCAGAGCGGCTTCCATGTGGACAGGAGGTTTGGATGGGATTGTCATGGTTTACCGGTGGTAAGTGACCTCTTCTCTCTCTCTCCCTACCCCCCCCCCCCCCCCTCCCCCACGTACCTCACCTTCAAATTCTCCCTCCCCACCTCAGGTCCTGACCCTTACAACCAAAATCTTCCCTTCTTGGTTGTCATCAAGACCTAGAATTAAAGGCCCCCCCCCCCCCCCACTAACATTCACGCAAATTGAGTACAGTAAATCCTAGACGATCACTCCCTTCTGTAATTTCATCGCTCCACTTTTTTGTGTAATCTATTTTTTGTCTGCTAAATGTAATAGCCAGGCTGTCTTTGATTTTTACCTGAAATGAATTCTGTTTTGTATTATTTATCTTATTTTTTTCATTTCTCCACCTTGATGCGCCTTGAAACATTTCTCATTGTCTTGATAACCTTTAAAGGGAATATACATCATTTGCTTTTGCTGTAATTTTCAGAAATGGATGGAATCGGGGGGTTGGAAATATATAGCAAATATAGTTACACTGACTTTTTTGAGGTTTTGGGTTCGAAAATGCTATAAAAACCAAGAAAAACAATCATTTTCCTGTGGTCTGGTTCCCTGACTCCATCATAAGAAGAAACAGAGCAGTTTACATATATTGGGGAATTGTAAGATCAGGGAACCAGGCTAGCTGGCTTGTACCCGTTCATAGGTGTGTAATCGATTGCAAACGAGTGCGATGGTCAACTGGGGCCAGTATTTGAAAAAAAGCCAGTTTTTTCCAACGCTGATCGGCCGATCAGCGTTGGAAATTGATACAAAAAATACCACTTTTCTTGAAAATGACAGTATACCAGGTGCCATGATTTTACAGGATGCTTTACACTGTCATTCACTAACAGTCCAGCAAGGTATTTCAAAATGATTTGGTAGTTTTATTTTTTGATGTTTGCAAATGTTGTATTGTCCCTTTAAAGCTTTGAAAAAATGCAGTGACGCCCTGGATTTTTCAGCAAAACCAAGGACAGAATGCAGTGCCCCTCTGAACCTGTATATATCCTGTCTTGCTTTGTGAACAAGTTTTCAACTACATGGATACATGTGCATTTGTATCTCCTCACTTATAGGAATATGAGATTGACAAGACACTGGGAATCAAGGGTCCTGAGGATGTGGCTAAGATGGGCATAGAGGCGTACAACAACGAATGCCGCAAGATTGTCATGAGATACTCCAGTGACTGGGAGGTAAGGCTGTGTATGATTTTACCGCCCCCCCAGCCCTTTTTGCTTGGAACCAGTCCTTCTAATTTGAGGCATGCACCCCCATATGGCACCCCCACACCATCACACGTCTAAAAGCTTTCCTAGAAGTGTGAATAATTGCCCGCCCACCTGAATCGCCCTGGACCATAGAATCACACACCTAGAAAATCACACACCTAGAAAAACCACATGCCTAAAAAATCCACGTGTGCCTTTTTCCCACACGCCTGTGATTTTCAAACCAGAAGGACTGTAGGAACCATCCTCAATCCTTAAAAATCCTCCAATTACACGTACATGTATGTTCAAATGAAGGATACCCACTGCCTCAATCCTTCAAAATCCTCCATCAGCCCTGCCTCTCAATATGCATTCAGCCCCAATCCTCCAAAATCCTCCTCTTCTTCAAACACCATTCAGCCTGAATACTCCAAAATCAAATGAATGTCCACAATCCTCCAAATGTGTATGTTGTGTTCATCCTCAATCCTCCAAAATCCTCCGCAACTGCACAGAGGACTTTGAAAGATTGAGGAGGGTTAGGGTTAATTAAAGTGGCTATTTTTGAGATTTTGTCCCCAAAAAAATTATTTTCTAAATTGCTGCTTTTTTTAGCAATGCGAAAGTTTTTCACTTTTGAGTCGGACATCGACGGAAGAAATCTTCCCATGTTTAGTTATTGAATTATTACTGTAAATATTTAGAATAACGACCCAACAAATAATTCCAGTCTCGGGCGTAGATTGGTTGCCGCCCCACAATTAGTATTTATAATGTATGGACCGGGAGCCAGCATGCTCGCAAAGTAGATCATTTTGTGCCCCCCCCCCCCCAAAACCTCTTATGATTATTTACGTATCATTTGTGTGTAAATATTCCAGTTTATCGTGACACGGTTGGGTCGATGGATTGACTTTAAGAAGGACTACAAGACGCTGTATCCATGGTTTATGGAGTCCATCTGGTGGGTCTTCAGGCAGCTCTTTGACAGTGGCTTAGTCTACAGGGGATTCAAGGTAAGATGGTCTTTCTGCCTCACCCCACTCCACCAACACCCCCTCCCTATCCCCACCCTTGCCCCATTCCACTCCACCAACACCCCACCCTCCCCCACTCAACCAACACCCCCACCCCACCCCATCTTTGACAGTGGCTTAGTCTACCGGGGATTCAAGGTAAGATGATCTCCCCATCCCACCCCATTCCACCAACACCCCTCCCCTCCCTACCCCAGCCCACTCCATTCCACTCCACCAACACCCCACCTTCCCCAACTCAACCAATACCCCCACCCCACCCCATCTTTGACAGTGGCTTAGTCTACCGGGGATTCAAGGTAAGATGATCTCCCCATCCCACCCCACTCCACCAACACCCCCTCCCCTCCCTATCCCACCCCACCCCACCCCATTCCACTCCACCAACACCCCACCTTCCCCCACTCAACCAACACCCCAACCCACCCCATCTTTGACAGTGGCTTAGGCTACCGGGGATTCAAGGTAAGATTATCTCCCAATCCCACCCCACTCCACCAACACCCCCTCCCCTCCCTACCCCACCCCATTCCACTTCACCAACACCCCACCTTCCCCAACTCAACCAACACCCCCACCGCACCCATCTTTGACAGTGGCTTAGTCTACAGGGAATTCAAGGTAAGATTATCTCCACATTCCTCACCACTCCACCAACACCCCCTCCCCACCCCACCCCACCCCATTCCACTCCACCAACACCCCACCTTCCCCCACTCAACCAAAACCCCCACCCAACCCCATCCAAATTTTTCACCAAGTTGCAGACTGATCACCAAACATTTAAATGTAAGACCTCTACCTTCCAATTTATTTGCACAACTTTGACAGATCAGTTAACCATAGAACAGGAATATATGGCATGCTGTATTTTTTTATCTGATCAACATGTCTTCAACAAAGTTCAATTTTGAATTTCATTGATACAGGTGATGCCTTTCTCCACAGCGTGCAACACACCGCTGTCCAATTTTGAATCAGGACAAAACTACAAAGATGTGGTTGATCCGGCAGGTATGCTTTGCCTTGCTTATAACAAAATCAACACTTAACAATTGATGACTGGTGTGATGTGTAATATGGCATTTTTAACACTAGCGGTGCGCATAGCACATCGCTCGTGCAAACGCACTGTTTGTCAGTGCAGTGCAATGTCAACTTTGAGCGGTGCAAGATTCGCTTCGCGAAAAAATTATTCGACGAAATTTGAGAAAAAAAGTCACTTCAAATCTCATCTCACTCAAAATACCTTGAAAGCATTCAAGCAGGCAGTAAATATTCTGCAAGTGCATCTGGTCGAGAAGAATTTAATGACATATTTTGAGATGCTGGGAAAAGTTTACGCTTGCTGAAGTTACGTGATGATGTGAAGAAAGAAGATGGTGATTAAAGCTAACCAGCATCATTTAAAGCTATAGTCCATCATTTGCAGCCATCCGAAAAGTAACTGGCGTAATTATTGTTAATAAACATACTTGGTTGAAAGATAGTAAGTGGACTAAACTCCCTGTGAAATTATTCTTTCTGGCAAGCTGTCATTTTGAAGTAATCAATGAAAGAAGGCCCTTCCAACGGTGCATCTTAAGACGCACCGTAGGAAGTTTAAATTAGTAGTTCGTTTTGTTATTCGGCGCAGCGCGCGCAAGCATTGGCACGACGCACACGCGCGCGCGGTTGCTATAATTCGTCGGATCAGTGCGCGACATCGCATATAGCAGCAATTCAAATTAATTCAAAACATGATTCAGCAACTTTTGATTTGAAATTGAGATCCTAGAATGCTGTTTTTCTCGGAATATACAGCTGAAGCTGAGCTGAAATTTCATCAGGTTAGTTGTTCAGTATCCTTCATTAGATTTTGAACACTTTTGTTGCTTCAAACAAACAAAATGCACAAATTACAAATGATGGACTATATCTTTAATTAGTGTCTTTCAAATCAAGTCAGCCTGATATAAATGATATTCATAAATACCTCAGACAGTTTAGCTATTCCTATTGGTCGAGAGCCCGTCACGTGGCCGGTCTTAAACGGATGATAAAGACATGGCTAGCTGGTTTTAAACACTTTTCCAGTGTCACATAAAATGTGGATTCCTAAAAATCCAGTGCCTCTTACCGTTTTATTGGTTGAACGTTCACAATCCTCACGAAGGCATGCGCAACACTACCAACGAGTCAGAATTTTATAGTTCTAAATTCAAAACGTAACGCCCCAGGTGCGTTCTGCGCGACATCACGCAGAACATGCTACGCGCGCGTCAATCTCCATAAAAGGGTTGTTTACATCTTACTCGCCAGCTGAACACTCCATTATTTTGCTAGAGGGATGTTTCAAAAAGCATGAAGTGAACTTGTTGAACAAAATCGGGATTTTGTTAACGAATTATTTGATTTTTTTTACCGAAAAGGTATTTATGAATGGGAATAAATATGTGCTCGGTCGGTATTATCACTCTGTTTAAGACCGCTTAGAGTCTGGGTGCTGATAATTACCCTCGCCTCCGGCTCGGGTAATTATCAGCACCCAGACTCTAAGCGGTCTTAAACAGAGTGATAAAAACCCCCGGAGCACACATTTATTCCCTTAATAATAATGGATTGCTTTTTTCTGGGGATACAAGAAAATATTGCACTCGCCATAACAATATGTGAGGCGTTCTGGCAAAATGAGACAGAACTGGGCAGAGGGGGTCGAAGTGAGGGTTTGTAGGTATCAGGAAAGAGAATAAAATTCTCCTTACAAAACAGTTTGTTGCAATTCAGTCGGACGTTCCGTTGACAAGTTATGGCTGTTTAAGTTTATCGACATGTCAAAAAAAGTAAAATTCAGAGAAAATGGCTTTTAAAGTTTCGAGTTTTGTAGTTGTGAAAATGACAGACGCCAATTATTTTTTCTTAAAAACACTGCTATTCCATGATTTTTATACTATTTCTTTGAAATACATCTATGTGCAGCAGACATACAAGAGATCACAAATTCATCAATTAATCTGAAAATCGAAAAAAATCATCTGTTTTTTTTTTTTGCATTTCCCACTATGGCCTTTGCCCAGTTCCCTCTCATTTTGCCAGACCACCTCACATATTGCACTCGTCTACGACTTGTGCAATATTGTTCTAGCTCGTGCAATATATTCTTGTATCCCCCTCAAAGCCATGCAATATTAATCAATGAATTTATTTTTCCACACCCCCTCCTCCCCCACCAGTGATTGTCAATTTTCCCCTGGATGAGGACCCAAACGTCAGCGTGATCGCCTGGACAACCACTCCCTGGACGTTGCCTAGCAACCTGGCACTCTGCGTCAACGCAGACATGGACTACGTCAAGATTGTTCTTAAAAAGGATAACAAGGTTTGTTTTCTCAAAGAAAGTTCAATACAGTGGAACGCCGCTATAACGAACATCGTGGGATCCACAGAAAATGTTCGTAGCAGCGATCGTTCGGTATAGCGATTTTAAGCTGCCGGTGCTCCGTTACTCACTTTTCAATAAATGGCGCCCTTCATAACTTCACCCTGCACGCCCTGGTAGTTACTGAAAGACAACTTCGAACACGTGCCGACTATTGAATTATGTAATTACACAGTTTTGAGCTTACTACCTACATCGATGGGTGGCTTTCCCCTTCTATGCCTTGGGGAAATAATAGCCACTTGTCGCTCTTCTGTTGACGGTTTTCAACAACAATGCTCGGTTGGTTTTGTACACAAAAATCGGGAGCCAAGGACAATGTTCGGTGTAGCCGAATGTTAGGTATAGCGGTGTTCGGTATAGCGACGTTCCACTGTATTTGTATTCGAAAGCTGCAAGACCCAAAACTGAAAAGCGCAATCAGCAATTGAGTATTTAATTTTTGTTGCACGCAAACAACGCACACTTAGGGGTGTGCATTTACGGGTAGTACAGGAATCAGGTACCTGATTGGAAAAACACGGGTACCCATTAAAGATCTCAACCCTAATGTTTAAATCTCGGAGGTTGCTGTACCGATTGTTCATAAAGGTCCTCATGATAATACTACCACATCGGTGCGTCAATACAGCCAGATACAAGTGTGAACAGTCAACTCAATACATGTAGCTTTACGGTGTGAATTGCATTTACATGTACACGTACTCAAGCGTAATAAACGTTAATCTGTTTTGTTTTTTCCATGTAGCCTGGTTTTCATTTTGAAACTACCCCACGAATGGCAATCAAAACCTTTCTTTTTCATTGTCTGAGAAGTTACTACATGTAAGAAATTCATACACTGTATGTAATTGGTTACGGGTACCAGATCCCATAATTTGGAACCGGTTCCTGACATCATTGTGATATCGTTTTCCCTTAACTCTTTCAGTGCCCGCGAAATTTGAAAAGTTTAACCCTAAAGTGCCCAACTTCAAGCATTTTTTTTAATTGTTCAAAATTCTGTAAAAAAAAAAAGTAAATAAGTTTTACTCACTAAATTTGTTGTTGTTGCTCTCTGGTATATCCTTAGTATATTGAAAAGTCAATAGTAGTCACGTACATAGTGCTACACCCTGAAACACTGTCCTGCACACAGGGGAATTCCGCAGTTTTTGCAGAAAATACGAGTGTCAGTGCTGCGCCCTCTCGCAAGAACTCGAATGAAACAAATAAATACAGGTCATACCTGAATGAAAATGATATTATTAGAAAGAGCAAGAGCGCCCCCTTGTGATAACATGCTTACTCTACCTCGTACATGTACAAGGTTTAGCGACTTTAAGTACGAACATTACCTGATTTACCTCGTACATGTACGAGGTTGGCAATTTTGAACTAACAAATATACCTCGTACATGTACGACTTTGGCACTGAAAGAGTTAATGTACAATGTACATGTAGCTATGTGTCTTTGCATCCCAACAATGGATTGGGTAAAATGAAAGTTTCAGTGAATGACGCTAGTTTAAAGTCACTCGCGCAATGGTTTTGATTTCTCATGACATTATCATCGTGATATCGTTTTCTTTTGAACTGTCTATTTTTGTTTTTGATGTAGGTTTACATCATGATGGAGGCCAGGCTATCTGCATTGTTCAAAGGGGAAGACGAGTACGAGGTTCTCGAAAAGTAAGTAAAGATGATTTGCTTCAAAACTCTCATTTTAGACTCAAAGAAGTATGCTTGTGGTAATTAGCACAATATGCACAGTATACTCCATTGTAGTGTTATCCACAAATCCTTGGCATTGAGATACAAACGTTTTCGATTGAAATCTCCAGGAAAAACAATTAGGAAATGTTTCGTTTGTGTAATATTTCATTCTTTTTATAGCGTTGCCTGTCAAATTAGAGAATTACCACTTAAAGGGAATATACATCATTTGCTTTTGCTGTAATTTTCAGAAATGGATGGAATTGGGGGGTTGGAAATATATAGCAAATATAGTTACACTGACTTTTTTGAGGTTTTGGGTTCGAAAATGCTATAAAAACCAAGAAAAACAATCATTTTCCTGTGGTCTGGTTCCCTGACTCCATCATAAGAAGAAACAGAGCAGTTTACATATATTGGGGAATTGTAAGATCAGGGAACCAGGCTAGCTGGCTTGTACCCGTTCATAGGTGTGTAATCGATTGCAAACGAGTGCGATGGTCAACTGGGGCCAGTATTTGAAAAAAAGCCAGTTTTTTCCAACGCTGATCGGCCGATCAGCGTTGGAAATTGATACAAAAAATACCACTTTTCTTGAAAATGACAGTATACCAGGTGCCATGATTTTACAGGATGCTTTACACTGTCATTCACTAACAGTCCAGCAAGGTATTTCAAAATGATTTGGTAGTTTTATTTTTTGATGTTTGCAAATGTTGTATTTTCCCTTTAAGACAGAGTTCATGGTCATTGGATCCGAGCAAGCACCACGAGCAAGCGCCATGAGCAGATATTGGTGCTCTATGAGACTCTTATTATTAATTTTGTATTTACTACACCTCATAAATATTCATGATCAAATCGGGGCAGGTCATTGGCCGATTCAGCCGCGCGTCCGGGAAGTAAATCGTCTTCCCGGTGAGTATCTAGCTCGCTGCTGTGCGGTATTTTTTCTGGTATCACCAAAAAATTACCTCTGGAACCCGCCTCATATCATGTAGTCTGTGGCATGTAATTTTTACGGAACCAGTCTGTTGTTGTAGTCCTTGTAACTATACTGCAGTAAGGACACATTAAAGAGTGTCGGAACCAGACTATTTCATTGAGTGGCGAAGAACTTCAATATCTTGAGGCAAAATCTATGAGGCTACTAAATGTTCATGAGGCGTAGTAAAACAAATACAGCATGGTTTATTTCTGGAAAATAGTTGGAATTACTGGTCCCTCAGTTAGGTCAGCTTGACTACCTCCCAACGCGAAGCTGACCTACACCTCAGGACCAGGAATTCCCATTACTTCCCCCCAAACCATGCTGTATTTATTTATAACACCTCACCCACAGATTCTTTGTCTTGATTGGCCGAGAGCAAGTCACATGGTACTTTCTATTTTTGTTATCTTTCTGTGCACGGCCAAAAGTACTATACCTGTAGCAACCAAAGTACTATACCATTAGCAACCAAAGCACTATTTCCACGGCGCGGTATTTGTGTGTAAATGCATGCTGGTGTGCGCGTTGCACGCAGCACGTTTTGTTCCAAAGAGAGCGCGCCGCAGAGTTGGGTTCAAACATTTCGCGAAGGGGTAGTTTGGAAGAGAGAAATACATTCTCCTCCAGTTTTGCATTGAAATTGAAGTTTATTTCAACTGTGTTCAGATTTAAATAATTTAAATATTTAAATAACCAAGCAGAATCTGTGGGTGAAGTGGGTGAAGTGTTATAAAACAAATATTGAATGCTTTATCTCGTGGTGAAGTAAAACTAGCCTCCCTCGGTGATCCATGGAGCATTCTATTTTCCCTCGGCTTCGCCTCGGGAAAATAGAATGTCCATGGATCACCTTGGGAGGCTAGTTTTACTACACCACTCGAAGCAGTCAATATTTGTATAATATTACTCTGTATTGAGTCGGGTAATAGTCAATGAAATGTCCATACACACAGGTTCAAAGGCAGCGCTCTGAACGGCAAAGGCTACCAACCTCTCTTCAGCTACTTTGCTGAGGTAAGACTTGTCAAATATTACAAAGTTTCATAACAGCACCGTATACATTGTATATACTACATTTTATTAACCCATTAGCACTTGAACTACATTGTTTTACATTGTATTACATTGTGTTTATTCACTGAAGAATCCGTAAAACCATAGAGTGCTAGGGCAGTTTCGGGCGCTAAAGTGAATAATAGGCAGGTGGTTTTGGGCGCTACAGTGACTATTAAGGGTCAAAGGCTGGCATATAGGATCATTTGCTTTTCATGCATGTTATTTGTTTTCAATATAATACGACGCAAAATCCAAAGAAGAATGTTCAAAACCTAACCTGTTGAAGTGTCAACTCCGTGGATAATACTGCCACAACCGTGGACAACCTTTTGATCACGAAACACAATTCCATCCACAGCACTTTTTATTTAAAAAAAAACCAGTCAATTGACTGATCGGTTGAAAATCACCTATATTTCTTGATTTCTCGTAAATGACAGCAAGCCAGACCGAATAATTTCACAGAGTGGGGTTTAGTACCAGTACGATCTTTTATCCACGTAAGCAATTGATGCGTTCGTTTAGCTCACCCGGGTTGACGCCGGTCAGCCCCGTGCCGTTCGATTAGCTCTGACGTCATTCTCGGGGCTCACCCGGGTCAGCCACCACAGACCCTGCTCGTGGAGCAGAGTCACTGGTGGAAATACGTCACGCATGCGTTGTTCATTCCCTAGAAACGGACAAATATGGTGGCTGGACAGCGGAAATCTAAAGTGGACTTGAAAGTTGACTTTATTTGAAGTCTAAAGGTAATCATTTATTGAGTTCATTGCAACCCAGGTGAGCTAAACGAACGCACCCTTTGTGATAATAATTTGGGACCGGTAGGTTAAATCTGGGATAATTGCAAATGATCATGCATGCCTTTTAACATTGGAAATCTCAATCAATATTTCTAGCTCAAGAAGACGGGAGCCTTCAAAGTCCTGAACGACGGTTACGTGACCGACGACAGCGGTACCGGAGTGGTTCACCAAGCCGCCTACTTTGGTCAGGTAAGGTACCCCAGTCTGTTGCACTGGTCTTGAATCAAGGTGATCTGTGCTTAGGGTAATTTGGGGTAAGACCTATAACAAAGAAGACGGGAGCTTTCAAAGTCCTGAACGACGGTTACGTGACCGACGACAGCGGTACGGGAGTGGTTCACCAAGCTGCGTACTTTGGTCAGGTAAGGCCCCATGGATTAATTCCGATTTGCGTGCGCCCCCGGGCGCACGCGTGCGCATGCGGGCAAACTCGAACAAAGGAGATTTTGAACCCACTGGCCCGCATCGGCACGCATCTGCCCGCATTGGCACGGACTTGCTCGCAGTGGCACGCAAACGGGCTCAGTGCCAGGCGGTACAGCATTACAAACAAACCGCAGAAATGCACAATAGACATCGTCTTGGACTTTAGCCATTGTGTCCCTTAATCCGCTCATTAGTTGGTTGTAAACACTTGGCAGGGCCAAGCATGACTCATCTACTCTGGTGGTACCAATAATTACATGCATTCCAAAATGACAGGAAATGTTAACGAAATGTTAATGATAAAAGTGCCCAGGAAAGGACAGGAAATGCCCGTAACATTACCGCGTGAGCCGGTACTTTCATTTAAAACACCGTGTAAAATTAAAATCTACTTGAAAAATCGAACTGTCTTTATCATATCTTTATAAATAAAAATGGTACGGACTGGTACACTCATACCCAGAAAGTGCAGACTTTTATTGAAACAGTGGTATGAAAAGAAATTATTAACAGCTTGCTGCACCTTGCCGCAAAGAATTTTTAAAGGTCGGGGTACAGAAGCGAAATGAGAGAATTTTGTAAAACGGCGAGACGCAGCCAGACTGGTCTACAACCGCATGTTATTGTACGTTGATGGAAGTGGTGTCAGACTTACATGTAGTCTGGCTCGCGGTAACAGTAATAACGCGTGCACGCATGTTCAACTTGACTCTCAATGGGCGCGGCCCCAATTATGAGGCCTATAACTTTAACAACATGATGACGATACTACGTGTATAGGCCTATGATTGATGTACAGCAGTGCCTATCATGACTTGTTCGTTCGATTTGCTTGATACCTTTTGATCGGAGGACTATAAAGTTGAATGATGAAAATGAACTTAATCATGTGTATTCTTTCTCTTTCAATAATTGGTGTTTAACTTGAATAATGGAGTGGAACTTTCTTAAAAATGCATATTAATATAAATTAAGAATAATGACATAAATGAAGCAGTCTTTCAACTGACTTTCATATTTACAGTAAGAACGTTCGGTGTCTTTCAATTAAAACCGAAGCTCTCAACGAAAAAAAAACAAGAAATATAATATATCCGGAGCTCAAATCAAACGACGCAAAAAAAGCTATGAAAATAGCCTAGCCATACGTACGTAAAGTGTAGTACATGTAATGTCACGTATCTTAAAAGAGTAATCAAGACACCATTGTGGCACTGCCATGCACCAACGTCTTTTATGTCATTGGAATCTAGCCCTTTCATCACAACCTCTTTGTCTGGTGCCGCTTTGGCCGGCTACCCAATTTCTTTTGTCAGCGTTAATCTAGGGATTAGTGTAGCAACCCTTGCCTGTGCTCAATAGCCTGTGCTCAATAGACTACCAAACTCATTATGGGGTCTTTACATAGACTAGGTTTCATTAGAATACGACTGTGTTTTAGGTTCAAAATGCAGCGGTGAATAGAACATGTACAAAGTCTGCGGGATTTGGGTTAGAACAAAAAGAAAAAGAAAAAAAAAATCAGAACTAAAACAAAGCTGTTCCACTTTTCAACGGAAAAGCAACAGTCCCTCAGTTCAGTTTGCAGCAAATGGCAAGCAGCGTTTACAGTTAGATATCAGAAGATCATGGGTCGCTCGACGGAAATCTTGGTTTCTGATATAATAGATGACCACGTTAAGCCAACTGTTTGTCAGGACAGGCAGCACAAAGGTGAACAGGACTATTAGCGGGTGTTGACTTTGTAAGAATATTATGTCCAAGAGTGGCAAGAGGTTGGCGATAGATCCAGTCAAAGCTATCATGAGGACTGTTTTCAGGGCCTTGTTGTCAGGCCTCGCGGCGGGGTTTCCCGGTTGAGCGATCTGGTTTTCGACTTGGATGGCTCTCGCTTGGTGTCGCGATATCATAAACAGTCGAGCGTACACTATGAGAGTAACTAACAGAGTGCTGACCATTACGCTTGAATAGACTATAACTGCAAGTATCGCATAGGATCCTAACTGAAAATAACACATTGGGATAGCTTTAGAGTATGTGGTTTCCCAGCGTGATATAAATCCGTATGCAGTTGTTTTCAACACAACTGCTCCCCACATACAACAGAGAGAAATTTGAACCCGTCTCACAGTCACCAGAGATGGGTAGCGCAACGCGTGCACCACCGAAATGTAGCGGTCCACAGTCAACAGCAGGATTGACAGCAGGGGACCGTAGATTACGATGCCCTCGACAAGTGACAGCACTTTGCAAAACGCCCCGCCGATATGCTCAGTCTCGGAAATTGCAAGCACGGTCATCGGTAGAGCTCGAAAGAGTCCCACGCCGAGATCGGCAACCGTCATGGATCTGAGGAATATCTTGGTTGTTTCCTGGATGCTGCGGACGTGCCTCAGGACCACGAGACACAGCGGGTTGAGGGTCAGAAGTAGGACGGTCGTTATGACGAGCAGGATGCATCGGATGAAGTTGTACTCAATTCTGTCCTGAGTTGTTGGGGTCGTGGATGCATTGAATATATACAGGTCTTCATTAGTTCCTGTTGAATTCATGTTGATGTTCATCTTGCTTGGTCGGGTTCAATCCGTTAGTAGGAATTTTTATTTTACTCCAGGGTATGAGTAACACAGACAGCAAAACTGATCTTTGACAAAACTCTTTCATTCAAACCCTAAACTCCCTAGGCATTTTTGCTAGGATGTGACTCAATCCTGCAAAATCCTCAAACTGGCTCCATGTAAAAATAGCATCTACCGGTGGCCTCAATCCTGGAAAATCCTCCGTTATTTCTTGAATTTGGTCCTTGGAGGGGCGACCACTGCCTCAATCCTGCAAAAGCCTGCGACGATCACTGTCAATTTGTTGAGACAGAGCCAGTGACATCCTGGAGCAGTGCAGAGGATTTCTAGTATAATCTATGGTAGGCCTAAATTTATGCACGGCTGAGCATAATTAACACAAGGTCCGGCCCAAGACCTTGACACAGTGCATCCTCCGAAATCAGCAAAACACTTTTGCCATGTAACCTCAATCCTGCAAAATCCTCAAATTTTGCAAAGAGGATTTTGGAGGATATGGGAGGGTTAGGATTAATGTTTTGAACAGTTCGAGTATAATAAAAGTAAAGCATCAAATATTGCAAATGAGTGGCAAACTGCATGCAGAGATTTTGTACGTAGGCTTCATCTCTTGAAAAAAAAGAATTAAATGGGCGCGGCTTGTCCTTGTCGTGCGCGTGAAGAAGTGTGTAAATAACCAAAGGTCAGGGATGATTGGCCAGTCTCTGATTGGCTAGGCTCTGATTGGCCCCGTGATATTCCTTATATTTTGATTGACGCATAATATTGTCATCGTGAGTGGCACGTTCATATCGCAGTTTGCGCCGCAGTTAAATTCCTGCAAAATGCCGTTACCTGTCAATTTCCATTTACTACAATGCATTCAATCACTTGCCAGTCTAATCAGTTTTTAATAGGCCTAACCCTTGTAAAAAAAAACATGTCAACTCGTCTTCAACTGTTGTAAATAACTTGCCTTCCTCTAGTCAAGGAGTTGATGACTTTATTGTCATATTAGAAGTGACATTATGAAGGGAATGAATGGGTGCTTGGCCAGTTTTAAACAAGTACATGTACGTTTGAGACCGGCCGGGGGAATGGACGCTGATAATAGCCTGAGCCGAAGGCAAGGGATATTATCGGCAGGATCCTAGCCGGTCTTAAACGGACTTGTTTAATTTCGGCCAAACACATATTTATTCCCATGCATAAATACCTTTTCAGTCACCTGCTTTTGTCTGTTGATGGAATTTGACTGCCACAGTGCCTACAAGAAATTTGATCTGACTGTTGGTGACTACCCTGAGTAGAAGGCATGGCAGGGGAACAGGATTGTATTTGTGACTGTCTGTGACTGATCAAACAAAAGGAGGGTTAATAGTTCATTATGCGGGACTGTTTCAATCTCTGTTTGTAATGGGAGCGGTTCGTCGTTGAAATACAACTCAGGGCAAGCTTGTACGTGTATGTTTGATAAAGTCTCTGATAGTCAACCACTCTTTGTTTTGCCGAGAACTGCTTGATAGGCTCATTGCACTCTGGTTGATGTGGAATATTGTCATCTTGAGTGGCAGCATTTAATCACCATTTAACCAACCTGTAGGATGCATTTTGCTCCGCATCCAATTTCGTTCAAACAGCTTTATTACCTGTCAATTTCCATTTATGGCAAGGCATGGCTTGATTTATTGAGAAGATGGCCCCCCAAAAAAACTGATCAATTGTCTACTTTTCTCAAATAAAAGTATGCATTTTTTTTAGCGAAATATTTCAAATGTTATTAGCAGCAAGCTGCAACATAAATGAATGAGTCAATACCTTCAAAAAGTAAAGTGCTCTAAGATCAATAAGTTTGTACTGCATGGGTTTCCATTAAGTTTATTAACATTCCCAAGAGTTTTTGGTGCTCGATCCTGAAAGGTAGTACAGTCGACTCTCCTTAAATACAAACTCAGTTGGACCTAGCCAAAATATTATATGAAAGGTACAGTCCATCATTTGTAATTTGTGCATTTTGTTCATTACAAGCAACAAACGTGCTCAAAATCTAAAGAAGGGTACTGAACAACTAACCTGATGAAGTTTCAGCTCAGCTTCAGCTGTATATTTCGAGAAAAAAAGCATTCTAGGATCTCAATTTCAAATCAAATGTTGCTGAATCATGTTTTTAATTGGGCCTGAATTCAGCGTCCGAGACGCGTTCTCACTTAGCCGATTGTAGCTACGCGATGTCGCGCACCGATCCGACGAATTATAGCAACCACGTGCGTGTGTGCGTCATGCCAACTCTTGCGCGCGCTTCGCCAGATAAAAAAAAAAAACTACAACGGAAATTTCCAACTGTGCGTCTTTAGACGCACCGTTGGAAAGGCCTTCTTTCGTTGATTTCTTGAAAATGACAGCTTGCAAGAAAGAATAATTTCACAGGGAGTTTAGTCCCCTTACTATCTTTCAACCAAGTATGTTTTTCAACAATAATTACGTCAGTTACTTTTTGGATAGCTGCAAATGATGGACTATAGCTTTAAAATGTTGTATTGAGTGGAGTGCCAGTCGCATTCATTGTGCACATACATGTAAATGCAAAGTCATGACCAAGGCTTTATGTTTGATATAACCAGAATTTGTATTAAAGGGAAAATACAACATTTGCAAACATCGAAAAATAAAACTACCAAGTTGTTACGAAATACCTTACTAGGATGTTGGTAAATGACATGCTAAAGCATCCTGTAAAATTATGGCACCTGGTGTGAAGCCATTTTCAAGAAAATGGTATATTTGTATACATTTCCAACGCTGGTCGGCCGACCACCGTTGGAAAAACCTAACTATTTTTCAATGACTGCTCCAAATTTACCATTTTTTTAGTCTAAATTTTTTTTTGGCTAGCTATTGGTTCCATGTTCATGAACGGGTGCAGGCCAGCTAGACTGGTTCCCTTACCTTACAATTTTCCGGTATTTTTGATCCATTTCATCTTTAGTGGAGTCAGGGAACCAGACTACTTGAATATTTTTGGTTTTCTTGGTTTTTCCAGCATTTTCGAACACAAAACGTCAAACATGTCAGTGCAACAATATTTGATCTATTATACTAACCCCCCAAATAGTTCATTTCTGAAAATTACAGCAAAAGCTAATGATGTACATTCCCTTTAACAGTGTTTGTACTAACGAGAGTCGACTGCTATTCACAGTGCAGAGAACCAACCTTAAGAAATCAGCTTTCGATGATTTCAACCAATCAGTTGCCACTTTGAGCTGACACAGACGTCAAGCAATGTAAATTACAGTTAATCGTGTTGATTTGGGATTAGTTAGGGGTACTGTAGCTACAGAAGGAAAAAAAAACACTGCCTAACCTCAAAAGGAAATTGAGACGGAATTGTCAGTAAGAAGGACATTTTCTTTGTTGTTTGCTATATAGGATGATTACCGCGTGTGTCTGGAGAACGGGGTGGTTACCAAGGAGATGATCATCTGCCCGGTAGACTCCAGCGGCAGGTTCACCAGCGAGGTCACGGACTTTGCTGGCCAGTACGTCAAGGTCAGTCGGATTTACCAAATCATTTGGAAATGTTGAACTGAAATTTTGATTACAGCTGCATTCCCGTGGTCCTCAACAACAATTTTTTGTTTAGGGTTAAACCTCATCCCATGGTTATGTATTCAGTCACTCTGTGATTTATCCTAACTCCCTAGCATGATTTACTAGGAACCATACCCATCCTGGCAAATTCCAACATGGGAAACTGCAAACACATCTAAAATTTCTGACTTTGATCCTGGAGGTGTGCCAACCCAATATAAAAGACTGTCGGTTTTAGGGTACTGTACCCGTCCTGACAGATTCCAACAAAACATGCCTTTGGGGTTTGATGGATTGAGTTCTGTTACGGTTAATGTCCCACATGCATGACAGTAAGGTCCTACATGCATCCACGTACGTGTTCTACATGTACATAACCCCGAGGACCGACACACAAAGGGAGAACAACAGATCCTTTCAGTCCTCGGAGTTGGGTCTTTTGTTGGAAACGGTCCTCTGTAGTAAGTTTGTGTGCTTAGTCTATAGGAGAGTGTTATATCACAGGGACAAAGGGAAACACAAAGCATTGTCCTCGAGAGTAAAGTAAAACAAGAGTGTCTGTGCATATGGCGTGCAAGGCTGGAACATGCAGAGTTACATCGGAGAGGCTCATCACCTGGGTTGTGTCTATTGTTTTGAAGAGTGTAAGAAAGCATCCGTGGGATTAACACAAACAAAAATACAATTTTGTTTATCCCCATAGGATGCTGACAAGCAGATCATCAAGTGGCTCAAGAACCAGGGTCGTCTCGTGGACCAGAGCACCTGCAAGCACAGCTACCCGTTTTGTTGGCGGTCTGAGACCCCCCTGATTTACAAAGCTGTGCCCGGTTGGTTTGTGAGGGTGGAACCCCTGGTGGAGAAACTCCTGGCAAATAACCAGCAGACGTATTGGTAATAATTAAAAAAATAAAATCGGTTTCAGATTTTCATTTCAGAAATCGTTTTGCTTAATAATTTTTTGTCTCGTAAAGAATTTTCAATTTGTATGTTTTGTTTTACTAAAAAAACTACTTTATTCCGATTTGGGGTATCTGCAAAAATCTGGAAAAGGGTTTTCATTTTGCACACAAATGAACCGGTCCTGCGAGAGCCGAATTATTATCTGGCAGCTAATAATTCGAATATTGTGAAGAAATAATTTGTTAACTAAACGTCAGTGGATTTTTTCACTTGATGTCTCATTCAAAAGTGCGTAACTTTTATATCAGTAGGAAAATAATCTAGCAACATTAGCAATGCTGCAAACCTAGGAAATAGCAAACAGGGATCACTCAAAAGGGATGTTGCTTTTTGGTAACATTTTTTCAAACAAACCCCAAAGGAAAGCTGACTAGGTGCATTAAAATAATTTCAAAGTCGAACAAAAAAAATTGACCGGAGCTGGGTTTGAACCTGGGCCCTCCAGATTGCCGTTCCGGCGCTCTACCAACTGAGCTATCCGTGACAATTGATGTTGTTTTTCAGAATTCACCATTCTGAATGTATGAGGGATTTGTCTATAAGGAGGTAATCATTAATCTTAACCGCCCTGAATCCTTCAAAACCTCTTTGCCAAAGTGGAGGAATTTGGAGGATTGAAGTTACATGGCAAAAGTGCCTTACTGATTTAGCAGGATGCACTTTGTTAAGTTCTTGGGCCGGACCTTGTGTTGTTTTTGCTCAGCCATGCATAAATACAGGCCTGGATTATGCTTGAAATCCTCCGTACTGCTCCAGGATGTCACTGGCCAAGCCTCAACATATTGACAGTCACTGCCGCAGGATTTTGCAGGATTCAGGCAGTGGTCACCCCTCAACGGATCATATTCAAGAAATAATGGAGGAATTTGCAGGATTGAGGCTATGCTATTTTTCCATGAGGCCAATTGGAGGATTTTGCAGGATTGAGGCTACATCCTAGCAAAAAGGCCTAGGGAGTTAGGTTAAAAATCTAATAGGTATTTAAATCGGAATGTGATAAAGACTTTATTAACCATCAAAGGATTGTCAGGTTTGAAACCACTGCTATTGAATGAAGCTTCAGAGCAACTCGCCACTTTAACTAATACCCACAAGCCATCTCCATTGACATTGTCCCTTTTTTTGTCCGTTTCAGGGTGCCAGAGTTTGTCAAGGACAAGCGTTTTGCCAACTGGCTGCGGGACGCCCACGACTGGGCCATCTCTCGAAACCGTTACTGGGGGACGCCAATCCCTCTGTGGGTCAGTGAGGATCTGGAGGAGGTGGTCTGCGTGGGCTCCATGGAGGAGCTGGAGGAACTGACTGGAGTCAAGATCACAGATATCCACAGAGAGAGGTGAAGGATTGTGCTTAGGCTTGCTTACTTGCTTAATTATTGCCTGCTTACTTACAGGCTTACTTACTTGTTCACTTGATTACCTATTTGCTTGCTTACTTGATTGCTTACATGATCACTAACTTGTTAAGCTGGGTCAAAGTAGAACTTCAATCATTCAAATTCATCCCCTACTTACTGTGCCATCAAACATCAGTCCTGCAAAATCAACCAAAAAAGTCAATTTGCACAATGCCTCAGTCTTTTGAAAAATCAACAGATTTTATCACGATGTGGTCTCAGTCCAGCCTCAACATTCCAACATTGAACATTCTGCCATCTACTTTTGTTTGATCTTTCAAAATTCATGTCAATCCTCAAAAAGACAAATCCAAAAATGAACCACTTTCCTCCCAAATTCATCTAGTTTGGAATATGCCTGCAAACTGCATCCTCCAATAATTAAACAAATCTAAGACTATCCGGCAGACTTTTCAGCAACATAATGCTAAACTGTATTGCTCAACTTTAAAATTTGTACAATGCATCTAAATAGTTTCCCTTTGTGGTTCATTTGAACATTTGTAATAAAAAGTGGAATCTTCTCCGAGTTGTCCTGTTTGCTGTTTCCCAGGTTTGTTGCTAGCATCATGACTATGAGCGTGATCGCTGGCTACATTGCATATAGGGGTCAATGGCTTCTGAGTAGCACCCCTTGAACAAAGACATTGACCAAAATGGGGAACCCCAAAATAGGGCCGGATAGCTCAGTTGGTAGAGCACCGGAACGGCAATTTGGAGTAGTAGGTTCAAACCGCGCTCCAGTCAATTTCTTTTCTTCAACTTTAGGAGGTCGTGGGTTCGAGTCCTACCGAGTGATTTTTTTCAACTTTCACTCGGGAGGTAACACACTGAGTAAACAGTGTTTATACGTCGGTGTAAGGGCAAAACCTAGTTTGATTTCCATCACCCGGATGCAAAATTCCATCTTATGAATAACTTTAAATTTGTTATAATACACCTAGTCAGTTTCCTTTTGTGGTTGATTTCAACATCCCTTTATTTTCCTTTGGCAGTGTTGACCAGCTGACCATTCCCTCCAAGCGGCCGGGGATGCCACCGCTGAAGAGGGTCAATGAAGTCTTTGACTGCTGGTTTGAAAGTGGAAGGTACAATGTCTAACTTTGCCAATATATTATGCTAAAGCCCCTGCAAAGATTTACACTTGCCTACACAACGTGTGGATTCCGCAGTGCTATACTTAAAGATATAGTCCATCATTTGTAATTTGTGCATTTTGTTCGTTTGAAGCAACAGAAGTGTTCAAAATCTAATGAAGGATATTGAACAACTAACCTGATGAAGTTTCAGCTCAGCTTCAGCTGTATATTCCGAGAAAAACAGCATTCTAGGATCTCAATTTCAAATCAAAAGTTGCTGAATCATGTTTTGAGTTGTTTTGAATTGCAGCTATACGCGATGTCGCGCACTGATCCGACGAATTATAGCAACCGCGCGCGCCTGTGCGTCGTGCCAATGCTTGCGCGCGCTGCGCCGAATAACAAAACGAACTACTAATTTAAATTTCCCTACGGTGCGTCTTAAGACGCACCGTTGGAAAAGCCTTCTTTCGTTGATTACTTCAAAATGATAGCTTGTCAGAAAGATTAATTTCACAGGGAGTTTAGTCCACTTACTATCTTTCAACCAAGTATGTTTTTCAACAATAATACGCCAGTTACTTTTTTGGATAGCTGCAAATGATGGACTATAGCTTTAACAATTGTTGACTGCTGGGATGTGGGATATGACGTTTTGAACACCTGAGGGGCGCATAGCAAGGGTGTTCAAAACATCATATCCCACATCACAGCAGTCAACAAGTGTTTTGTTACACCCCTGTCTTGTTTTGTTATACCTCTGTCTTGGATTATACCTCTGTATTGGATGTCTAGGCATAACTACTGAGGTGATTTAAAATGCAACAATTAGAACCTTGAACCTGAAGATATTGAAGAACAAGATCTACAATTCGCAAATATCAATGATCAAATATATAATCTAAATTTCAGTAAAAGGCAATGAATTTATCCTGGTTGCTACAAACGCTAGCTTGCTTTCCATAACACAATATCCATAGTTTCAAAGGAAAAAGACAAACATTTGAAACCAAATACATAGTGGAATAACATGTATTGTAGTCAAAATCCACGGAGCATGGACCTCACAAGGTGACACCGTTATTCTTTACATGTAATTTCAAGAGCTTGTGTTTTTCATTGAATTTTTCAGGAGCCGGTTCCAACTCGGAACTGGTTCTTTTTGAGAACTGGAACCGGCTCCAGAAAGATTGGAACCGCCCAAGCCTAGTTCGTATATCCCCAAATGAAAATGTTTTTGTTCTGTTCAGCATGCCTTATGCCCAGATGCATTACCCGTTTGAGAACAAGAAAGAGTTCGAGGATTCTTTCCCTGCGGACTTCATTGCAGAAGGCATCGACCAGACTCGGGGCTGGTAAGTATTTACTCAATGTTATTTGAACCAACTTGGTTGTTAAAACCTAAAACCATTTTAAACAAGGATAAAACTGCGGAGTTCTTTTCACGAAGACAAAAATAAGTACCACTTCAAAACGTCCACAAACAGATGGTTCGTAAGACTTCCAAATACCATCTCAAGTTTCTATGGGATTATACAGGTCAGTGCTGCCATTTCCAAGCAAGCAGCTGAAATCAATCACAATAACCATCGCTGCCCTTACATGTACCCAATTTACTCCTGGATGGAGAGAAGTAATGAGTGACAAAGTGCCTTGCCCAAGGACACACACACCATAGCCCCAGGCAGGACTCGAACCCACAACCTGCAGAATAACCAACAGTACTTGAGTTCAACGCTCCAGACCATCACGCCACGACACTCCATGTACCTCCTGTGTCTTGAAGGGTCTGGAGGAGTACAAGGGTTAATTAAAAACGCAAGATTTATCCTGATTTTCTTCCCAATCTCCCTCCCCCTTCCAAAGGTTCTACACCCTCCTAGTGCTGTCCACTGCTCTCTTTGACAAGCCTCCCTTCAAGAACCTGATAGTCAACGGCCTGGTCCTGGCTGCCGACGGACAGAAGATGAGTAAGAGGAAGAAGAACTATCCCGACCCGCTCCAAATCGTCCACAAATATGGAGCTGACGCTCTCAGGTTAGTCTGCCTTGGATTGGATATTCCAGGTTTCTCCTAGAACACTTTACAATATGGGATTAAGCTGACTGCTTACAGATCCAATCACTGTCATCATTTTTATACCTCATACATATTCATGAGCAAGAACCGACTTCTTACTGGTCCATCGCCATCACCATAATGCTGCACATTGGGCAAAAGCTAAAATTTGAAAAGGTTGTCGGTTTTTGTTTTTGAACTATTTTCAAAATGTTCGAGAATGTTGTTGACAATAAAGATGCCTTCTCTACTAAAAAAAGTTGTTCACGATGCGGTAGATTACTGTATTGCGAAAGAAGTGAACTTTTCTGAGGTTGAGCAATATTCTTCCGGTGCAGCGGGAAATTCAGCAACTGAATAGGTGTGAGGTACATGTAACATCGTTTAGTTCGGGTGGATAGTCGATATTAGCTCCGCTCGGTATAGGAAGTTGTCAAACTAGTTCCCTCGACGAATTCAAACCATGTTATATTTGTATACTATGACCAGAGAATGCCACTGCCTGGTTTCATTTGAATAGCCTGTCACCCGACTTGAGACTTGGTGAATTGTGATTGACTTGTATGGGCTACAAGCCTGGGTTCTATTTTATTTTGTAAGCCTTTACATGAAAAGCATGTGCTTGAAACCTTTTTAACTGTATTTATTCGACAACAGGCTGTACTTGATCAACTCTCCCGTTGTGAAGGCGGAGACTCTTCGCTTCAAGGAGGAGGGCGTGAAGGACGTCATCAAGGATGTCTTTCTGCCCTGGTACAACGCCTACCGCTTCTTCATTCAGAATGTGCAACGATTGTGCAAGGTAAAAACTTGCATCGGTGACTCAGTTTAAAAAGGAAAAAAAAATTGGAAAAGTTTGTGGGTCAGGCGTTTAGTGGTGTGTATTTACGGGTAGTACAGGAACTTGGTACCCTATCCACTCCGTTCACAAGTACCCCCTCACCGGCCAAGAAAATACAGTTGGGGGTGACAGACCGACGCCATCTTGCCTGACTGCAATTCATTTGCCGCGAAGCGCGGCCACTGCGTGTACATAGTACAAATCCCCTGGTGTACGTGTATGTGCATTCACACACAAGGAACGGTGCGCATCAACCAGCGAAATGTCTCACCCATGAGACGTCATTGCTAGGTAAAAGGGCGCCCTCTTTCTCGGCGCACAGAGCCCATTGAAGTGCCCGTAAAGAAAGCAAACCCCAAAATTCAGATCCTGAAAGTTGTCTGAAGGGCTTAATAGGTCTCGTTCAAATGACGTCATTTCCTACGGACCATCCACGTGCATAGGCATTTTGAGCGTCAACTTGCATAACGTGCATCGGCTGCGTCGTATTTCGAACACATTTCAAGCAACAAGCGTGCATGTTTGGGACATTTTCAGCACTGTGCAATGCGTGCTTGATTGCGTAAAATATGCAGTTGCAGTTCTCCTACAGAGATGGCCGTCATTGAACGAGTCCTATAGCTTTACGGTGCAAAATGCAACTTTCGTGAGCATCATCTGTCATGTGTTAAAATGCACACATAATCTTGAATCTGTTTTGGTTTTCCATGTAGCCTGGTTTTCGTTTTGAAAATTTCCCACAAATGGCATACAAAATGTTCTTTATCATTGTCTGAGAAGCCATTTAGTAAATTGTAAAGTTGGTTATAGGTACCCGATCCCATACTCTTGAACCGGTTCCTGACATCAGCTGTCAGGTTATCAGTTACCCGGTTCCGATGCATACCCCTATACAGTGTTCTAGCCAGGCATCAAATAGCGCTAGCACCCGCTACGCTTTCGGAAATAAGCGCTACGCTTAAATCGCGCCGCTACGCTACCGCTACGCTATAAATTTTGGTTGCGAAAAAAAAATATCTGTCGTTTGTTCGTATACAAGCGCAGCGACTTTGAGCATTGCGCACTGGCCGTACGACACAGCGAAAAATAAACAACGATCCCACCGCACGTACCCCGTACGATACCCCTACCGTGATGCTGCGCCACACGCATTCGCTATGATAGCAAGCACGTGCTGTTTTGTGCTGCGTAGATACAGCGCTCCGTTCGGACGTACGTGTCACCAACAGAGCGTCACGTACAGAGCGCTCTGTGGACCACACCATTTTGCGGTATCGGGTGTGCTTTCCTAAGGTCAATATTTACAAGCAATTAAACTGTTCTAAAATTATAAATAATACTTTTTATCAAGTCCGAAACACGTAACTGTTTGAAAATAAGTTCTTCAACGTCGGAACATAATTTTCGTAAAGGATTTATTTGAGAAACGATGTCCAAAGAAAGGTTAAGCGCCCCTACGATATCAATGGATCCGTCCTACAAGATGGCGCACGTGAAGAATTCTTCTCGAAGAATGTCACTGTCGAAAATTTGGATTTTTGGCTACACTACTCGTTGCTGATAATAACAGTTCGATAAGTTTGGTAGTAAAAAACGGATCTGTTTGTTCTTAGGACAAAACCAATCAGCAAGTATTGCAACAAAGCAAGTTTTTTAGCGCTCCACGAATGCGTTGCTTTCTCAAATGCTGAGGGAAAATTTGGTCGCGTAGTTCGCCGGCGTAGCCGGTGTGGGCTGGCCCGCGCCGCGCCCGCACGCCGGGCCGGCCAGGGCCGGCCGCGGCCGGGATAGGAAGCAATTCCCGGTGATTATTTCTCATCGTCATTATATACAATTATATTTTTTAACATAACAAAAATGAGATTTCTCCTTCACATTGTGTTGTAGCATATTGAAATTGCAATCGCCGACGACTTTTTCTGTCTGAGACCTCCATGGTTTTACACTTTCTCTCCCTGCCGATCGGATGGTTTTATTTACAAATTTAAAATCGGAACTACTGCTACTACGGCAGCGCTACACAGCACAAGGCTTCTGAAATATGAAATGTTCATGCGATTTGTTCTCACCCTTAATATTGACAAAGTAAATCCCAATTTGTTATAAAACATTGAGGAACTACTAAAAGTGGTTAAACATCAGAAAGCATCGATCTTGGAACAATTTATACATTGTAAACATAATCTAAAATTTGAAAACAGAAGAAACTTTCCAGGAGCAAGAGTATCAATCATTGAAACAAATATAACAAAATTTCTTATAATTTTAAACACTTCTGCTAAAAAAAATCAGGGGAAAGTGGCAGGGAATCGCCTCAGATTGCACCACAGAGCATCTAGAGTCCAAAATTTTTCGGGCCCCTTAAGCGGGCCCCGGACCCCACGCCGTAAGGGCTTCGCGCTCCGCGCTCGCATTAGTCGCCGAACCAAAATTACCCCTACGCTATAATTTTACCCTAGCTAGAACACTGCCCCTATAGCAGCCCTAAAATCATGCAGTAATGGGGCGGTTTTGGAGCATACAGGATGTAGCATACATGACAGTTATGCTTGTAGCAGGGTTTAATGAGTTAAAAAGCCAAAGTTTGTGTTTGATTTTCCCCAGGAGGAGGACACTACGTTTCTTCACAATGAGCAGACATTTCAGCCGTCTGGGAACTACATGGATCGATGGATCCTGTCGGCATGTCAGAGTCTCATTTCGTTTGTCAAGCAAGAAATGGCCGGTGAGTTTATGTATCAGACAAAATCAAAGCCAGATGTTTGGGACGATTTGCAGGATTGTAGAAGGCAGCTGTTAGGACTACAGGTATTACTAGGTTACACGTTTTAAATAATCGATTGAAGTGTCAATTATTTGGTCACATTTTTCCACAACTTTGTGAAAATAGAGAACGGCCAGAAATGTCTTAAACCAAAAATCTCAAACATTTCAAGTAGCGCTGGACGATATGGTGATAAACTATCGCCACGATATGATATAAAAATCTGAAACGCCTTAAGTTTTTATAAACTTGAGATATAGGCCGTATCTGTTTTTTAATCGTCGCACTTTTTTTGCAACCCACATTTTCCCCAAAAAGTGGGCCGTTTGATTAATTAAAGCTACAATTGAAAAGTGAACGAAGTTCAAATCTTTATTTGCAGCCTATCGCCTGTACACCGTAGTCCCTAAACTTGTCAAGTTTGTGGACACTCTAACCAACTGGTACGTGCGGTCCAATAGGAGAAGACTAAAGGTGGGTGTGTATTGAAAATCCAATGTTTGGTTATTTATTTCTTAGCCATTTTGCGCCGGGATTATTTTTATTAAATAAGAACGGAAAGAGGGGCGGGATTACTTTTCAATCGACCTCAAGCTGGGCGGGTTGAAGCCATCACCCTCGGGCAACACACTCATATTTCCGGCCTCGCTTGCTGCGAGCGCGTCACTGACAGATATTTCCGGCCTCGCTTCCTGCGTGTTTATCCGTCATCCATTCCGAATACCGCAAAACCTTTGCGTGTAAACACGTCATCCAGCGCGAACTGGTAAATGAAATCATCAAACCGTGTAGCAGAGATGCAACCTTTCCAATTTTAATCGGAATTTAACGGGTTTTTTTTCCACCCAAACTCTTTATTTTATTAAATTCCAATGAATTACAGGAAAATATTACGTCTTGTATTGTGACAGCAATTTTAATCTCCTCTGCAACTTATCAATAATCTCTACAACCAGTCGTCAGTACACAGTTTCTGTTAGAAACACATAAACAAGGTTCGAATGGTGTATGTTTTATGGGTTGAAATAAGTTGAAGCATTAATCCATGACATATGTGAATCTACATACCAGGTTGTTGAATCGAAAAATCCACCTAAAATTGTTGGAGGTTTTAGATTAAGTTGTACAAAATGCAATGCTGCAGAGACTCCCAGCCTGTTTTCAGATTTTGTTTTCTCCAAAAGCCGAGTTTCATCTCTGATTCAGTGATGGGATAGTTCAGGGCAGTACAGGGAGTGACGGGCATGGCAGTTTGGGCAGTGCAGGGACTAATAGGTTAAGGATTTAATAGAAAAAAAACCAAACAGAATGACTTGTTTATTTCTTGATCATTATTATTCTTAATTATTTCTGGTAATTAAACCAAGGATTCCTAACAAACTCCCCAGGCACTGTAGCTTGCAAGCCTGAAGAAACCTGTAGAGAGAAGACAATGAGAAGAAATTACAGTTGTAGAGGTGGGAGGGAAACCCCAGAAGAATGTTCTTGGTAAAAAAAATCACGAAATCAGGCAGGGACTGAAAACCCAATCCACATATTGGCAGAGGCGAAATTCGAACCCTGGTCACAGCGGTGGAAGGCGAAGAAAGTACCGCTACACCAACGTAACGCCCCAACCTCATGCTAATTACAGGGAGAGAACGGCCGTGCAGACTGCGAGCATGCCCTGCACACCCTATACAACGTCCTGTTCAGCATGGTGCGCGTCATGGCCCCCTTCACCCCCTTCCTGACTGAAGAGATGTATCAGAACCTTCAGCATCTGCTGGATCCAGAGGCCACTCAGGGGCTGGATACGGCCAGCGTGCACTACCTCATGCTACCGCAACCAAGGTAGGTTGGTCTCAGTAATCTCTGTGTGGACTACATGTACAGTTTGATAAAAAGTTATTTTTACGACCCCTCTATTTCTTTGGCTTCACTCAGTTTTTTACCTGTGTTTATCGTTCCAAAATTGCATTTGCAGCCTCAAGCAGTCTTTTTTTATTTAGATTGACACTATGTTTTTATCATATTGAACAGAACTTGGGGAGAAAATGTGACATTCTTACCAGGTTTGGCAGTTGAAGATGTGAGAACTGTTACATTTCCTACTTGTCAGCCCGTGGTTTTGGCTGTTCTTTCTAGTAATCCTACATCCTCCCCCATTATTCTCAACCAATCAGAGACTGTGTTACAAATAACACCAGCCAAACCTTTTAAACTTGTTCAGCATTGTTGCCTTACATGTTGACGAGTTTTGCGTTTTGTCGTCGGCGTTGTGTTTTATCCTATAATTTCCCTCAGAAATCAAATCCCTGCCCACTTTCCACAAAATTAATCCTGTTGATGTTCAACGTGGTATGACTGCCAGCTGTCTAGATGAGTCCGAAAACAGAAGAGTGGCCCTTCCAAGTGGGCTGCTCCAGTGGCATATATCTGTGCCGGGGGGATGGGGATGACCAAAATCCGAAAAATATCCCGGCCGTGGAAATTTGAAACGGTGGATTTCAAGCTTTTGTACTTTTTTCCCTCCGTTTTTCAGTGCTATTGAACAAATTTTGGTTGTTGGGAAGTTTAAAAATACCTCAAAGTCAGTCTCTTTTGTTTCTTACCGCCAAAAAAAGGAGGGATCCAGTAGGCCCCCCCCCCATCTCCCCCGGTCAAAAAGTGGGCACAATATATATATCCCCCCCCCATCCCCCGGGATTCATGCCCCTGGTCTCCCCCAAGTCTCTCTTTGTAACTATGTGTACTTGTGCACCAAGTCCATGCAAGCCTCAGTTTATCCTGATTTCTCTCTACGATTAGGGAGGACCTAACAGACACGACTATCGAGCGTGCCGTCAGCCGCATGCAGAGCGTGATTGAGTTGGGACGAGTCATCCGTGATCGTAACACCATGCCTATCAAGTACCCACTGCGTGAGGCTGTGGTGATCCATGCCGAGCAAGAATGCTTGGACGATGTCATGTCCTTGGAGAAATACATCAAAGAGGTTAGTTGTGGTCCATGGTAGCAGTGTAACAATTCTTTGTTTGTCATTTATCACAATCCGGAATTTGCCATTGGACAGTATCATAAAAGCGTCAGGCACGCTTTTAGTAAATCATGGGCCGATTTCACGAAGCGCTGAGAGGCATCTCAGGTAGGGTAACTCGACCTAACTCGTGACTCGTCCTAGGATCTATTTCACCTTCACGTATGCAACGCACTCAGAAAGGATTTCTTTGAAGCTGTTCAAGTCCCCCACATTAGGCAACCTGTCGCCTTATTTTTAGCCTTATTTACGGAGATCTCATTTTTCCCCCTGTTTTCTTCTTTGGCCTTATTATGAAGATGTTATCACTGTTCAAATGATTTTCCACAAGGTTTAAATAGGGTAACTGTATCATTCAGCAACATGATGAATTTGAAGTTCATCAATACTGAGGTTTGGCAAGACTATTTGATGATATCTGGAGACAAGGTACGTGTAAATGCGCGCAACTTTAAGGTGTAATAGTAGCCATTTTGGATTGTTACTATGTCTTCATAATCATTCAGTCACTAATATGCTTAAGAAAATGTTATTGAAGTAAGGAAGTGTAAGAAGAATCACCAAATAAACTTATCAAAAAAATTAATAAAAAATATACCCAAATATGGGAACAAATAAATTATTACAAGACAGGTATTAAAGATTCATGCAAATTATGCATCCGCTAAAAGTCCAGCTTGGTATTTATCATTTTGGGATTCAGCACCCCCAACTAAGGTAAAATTACCAACTTCTTCTAAAAAATGCCTCTTCTAGCCTAAATAAGCCCTTTTTATGCCCCGCGGCGAAGCCGAAGGGGCATACTGTTTCCGCCTTGTCCTTCCGTGGGTGGGTGGGTGGTGGGTGGGTGGGTGGGTGGGTGGGTGGGTGGGTGGGTGGGTGGGTGGGTGGGTGGGTGGGTGGGTGGGTGGGTGGGTGGGTGGGTGGGTGGGTGGGTGGGTGGGTGGGTGGGTGGGTGGGTGGGTGGGTGGGTGGGTGGGTGGGTGGGTGGGTGGGTGGGTGGGTGGGTGGGTGGGTGGGTGGGTGGGTGGGTGGGTGGGTGGGTGGGTGGGTGGGTGGGTGGGTGGGTGGGTGGGTGGGTGGGTGGGTGGGTGGGTGTGAGCTTGTCTTACATACGCAGTGTGGACTTCCGAACAAAAGACGTCCACATAATGTAGGTAGCACCGACGTTGTGTGGACTTGCCCACGTCCACACAGTGTTTCCCCATTTCTGGAAAACAGGTTTAGAGGCATTTTTGGGTTAGGTTTATCTGTAGCAGAATGAAGAGAAACACTAAAGGGAATCATAGAAAAAAAATTGGGTTGAAAGAGTTTTCACAGTTTGAGAAAAATGAGTTTTTTCACTGGTTTTTCTTAACTACACGAAAGCAATTGAAAGTCCACACTAGTCATGTGAAACAAGTATGGGTGTGGGTGGGTGGGTGTGTGGGTGTGTGTGTCCGGACAAATCTTGTCAGCGCGATAACTTGAGAAATACTTAACATATGAACTTCAAATTTGGTTTGTGGATTGTTCTTGGTAATCCTAAGAAGCCTTTCGCATTTGGGGCCAAAAGGCCAAAGGTCAAGTTCACAGTGGCTAAAACAATAGAAATCTTGTCAGCGCGATAACTTGAGAAATACTTTACATGTGAACTTCAAATTTGGTTTGTGGATTGTTTTTGACAATCCTAAGAAGCCTTTCGCATTTGGGGCCAAAAGGCCAAAGGTCAAGTTCACAGTGGCTAAAACAATAGAAATCTTGTCAGCGCGATAACTTGAGAAATACTTTACATGTGAACTTCAAATTTGGTTTGTGGATTGTTTTTGGCAATCCTAAGAAGCCTTTTGCATTTGGGGCCAAAAGGCCAAAGGTCAAGTTCACAGTGGCTAAAACAATAGAAATCTTGTCAGCGCAATAACTTGAGAAATACTTTACATGTGAACTTCAAATTTGGTTTGTGGATTGTTCTTGGCAATCCTAAGAAGCCTATTGCATTTGGGGTCAAAAGGTCAAGTGTCAAGTTCACAGTGGCTAAAACAATAGAAATCTTGTCAGCGCGATAACTTGAGAAATACTTAACATATGAACTTCAAATTTGGTTTGTGGATTGTTCTTGGTAATCCTAAGAAGCCTATTGAATTTGGGGCCAAAAGGTCAAGGGTCAAGTTCACAGTGGCTAAAACAATAGAAATCTTTTTTTTATTCTGAGATTATAGGGATTAGGGATTAATTCATATAAAACCTACAGAAGACACTAATGCTGTCAATGAATGTTCCATGTGACCAAGGTACATGTAAGTTGATGTTAAAAGAGTGGTGTTATGTCATGGGAACAGTCACGGTTGCGGGGCATTTGTGTTTGTAAACACACCTGACTTGTTTGAAATAGCGCCTGGACTATAGCAAACAAAGTAGCACCTGGAGGTCTGCATGCCACACAACCCTACAAAAATAGTTATTTAACAGGCAACTTTTTCTGAGCAAGTACAAAATAAGGAAAACAGTCGGCATGAATGCAAGAATGAATTGTTTGTGGAAGAATTTATTTTATTTTAATTATTATTTTGGTTTGTCACCAGGAGTTGAACATCCGCAGCGTGACCACCTCCCAGGACAAAGAGAAGTACGGTGTGTCCCTCCGCGCCGAGCCGGACCAGGCGGTCCTGGGCCGACGGCTGAAGGGAGACCTGAAGAAGGTCACCCAGGCCGTGCGAGAACTGACGGACTCCCAGCTGGAGGGCATGAGGAGCGCGGGGCAGATTGAGATCCACGGTCACGTGATCCAGGAGACGGAGTTGAGGCTGAGTTACGTCTTTGCGCAGACCACGGACGGAGGGAAGGCCAAGTACGAGGCACACTCCGACAATCAGGTTGGTTTGGGAGTGTGGCGAGCTATTTTTCGTTGTGGCTGGTGGAGTTTGTCAGAAGAAAAAGAATTAGTTAGTATACAAATAATGAATGTTTGTGAGAGCAATGATAAGGATAATTTCATGAGGTGACAGATGAAATGTTCCATTCCGAAGCCTCGTGGAATAGAACATTTCATCTGTCACCGAATAAAATTATTCTTTCCATTGCACGAACGTGAAACATTCATTATTTGTTTTATATAACACCTGAATAAATCCTTGTCATCTGATTGGTTGACTTTTAATAGCCAATTTATTCAGGTTAAAACCTGTTTAAAACTTCGACAAGTTCATCATATTTTATTAATGCAAACTGTTCAACAGGTTGAGAACAATCATATTCAATTTATCTCGATTTTAAACAGCGCCACCACCAGCAGCAGTGACACCGTGGAATGGAAGTTCTATTCACCGTGCAATAGAACTTCCATTGCACTGTGCGCTGCGCGCCACACGCGCGCCGTGCGTTGGTACGAATAATTCAATGACATGTGATCAACGATCCACCAATCAGATGACGGGGATTTATTCAGGTGTTGTATTATGAAACATATTTTTTAAAACACTTTACTTTTTGTGGCTGGTTTTAGAGAATTTATTAGGAAATGGTGTGGGAAGGGGCTGGATGTCTTTGGACACTAATGGGCGCTGTTGAAAATTCATCTTTGTACATGCCCAACATTAGACACCAACGCTGCTGAGACAAATTGAACTGCAGAAGAACTTCATTTTAAAAAACAGTGGGTTCGTACCGTACTTCATGCGCAAAGTACGCACAACTTACTTATACTACATGTGCCAAAGCTAAGCCACAGCGTCTTCGCTTGAGCGTCAGGCGTCATTCGAATTGATCTTGCGATGGTCTCCCAGACTAATCCTTGCCCCTCATAACTATGGATACATTCGAAATCCGCACTGGATGGACCGGGAACCAGTCTAGATCTCCCCCAACTCTCCTTTTCTGGCCATTGAAGGGGTACTTGTGCACGGAGCCCATAGCAAAACACCGAGTTCATGTTGGGCCACTGCAGTAACCTTTATTGCACTAACTGGACCTCTGAGTGGCGTCACAACTTCGGCAGTGAATGGGGGAATCAGGGTTCGAAATTAGCGGTAGCCCGCTAGCCAAACGCTAGTCAAAACAGCTGCGGGCTAGTCAAACTATTCCTTAAGTAGCCCGGGTGGCCAGTCCAAAAAAATTATTTGGATACGTGAAAGATGAACGAACAGGAAGAAATAAATTACTAATTCAGAAAGAAAACCTTATCAATTTGTGTCTAATTTTATCAACTGTTTTTAAAGGCTAAATAATTAGATCTGTTTATTAAAACACCGACAAAATTGTCTCAGAATTGAGCCTGAAAATACGCCATTTTGTATTTGAGCTAAAAAAAAATGCGGGCTGGTGAAAATGCCAGACTCCGGCTAGTTAAGAGTCTGTTTCAGTAGCCCAGCTGGCTAGTGAACAAAAAAGTTAAGGTCGAACCCTGGGGGAATCCTATTCAAAATTAGTCAATTTTTGTACTGTCAATAAAATGCACTGCCAATACAAATGATTTTATAACACCTCTCCCACAGATTCTGTGTCTTGATTGGCCGAGAGCGAGTCACATGTTACTTTCTAATTTTGCTATCTTTCTGTGCACGGCCAAAAGTACTATGCGCATAGCAACCAAAGTACCATACCATTAGCAACCAAAGTACTATTTCCACGGCGCGGTATTTGTGTGCAAATGCATGCTGGTGTGCGCGTTGTGCGTAGCGCGTATTATTCCAAAGAGAGCGCGTCGCAGACTTGGGTTCAAACATTTCGTGAAGGGTTAGTTTTTAAGAGAGAAATACATTTTCCACCAATTTTGTATTGAAATTGAAGTTTATTTCAACTGTGTTCAGATTTAAATCATGTAAAATATTAAAATCAAGCAGAATCTGTGGGTGAAGTGTTATAAAACAAATATTGAATGCTTTATCTCGTGGTGTAGTAAAACTAGCCTCCCTCGGTGATCCATGGAGCATTCTATTTTCCCTCGGCTTCGCCTCGGGAAAATAGAATGTCCATGGATCACCTCGGGAGCCTAGTTTTACTACACCACTCGAAGCATTCAATATTTGTATATTATGGTTAAGGAGATCTCAAGGATTGCACACTTTTTGTTGTTTCAGATTTTGGTACTCCTCGACGTCACACCTGACCAGTCAATGGTGGAGGAAGGAATAGCCAGGGAAGTCATCAATCGCATCCAGAAACTTAGGAAAAAGGTAAAAAAAATCTGTCTTCGTTCTGAACATGCACTTGGCTTAACTTGCCCGTGGTTCACGCAAATGAGTCATTTGACTGAAGCTGAACTCAACGGCTATGAGGATTGCAAAAATTGTGTGCTTTCCTGTGTTTTTGACCGTAAATCCAAACAGATTGGTGTATACCGGTAACACAGGTAGAAGGATTATAATGAAGCTTAACTTATCCTCTTTCTCATGGTACAATGTAGTTATTTAAGAATTTTCGGGGTTTTTTCCTGTTCTTTTTCCAAAAATGTTGTTAGTTTTTGTTGCAATTTCTGTGGTGTGAGTTGAGAGGGCCCAGAAAAGTTCAGCAAAGACGCTGTCGTATATTGGAGACTTCACTCTAAACAATGACATAAAAACATTTCTGATTGGACAAAAGAATTCACATCTATTCACAAAACAAAAATCACGAACTTAAGGCAGGTGAATGCGAATGCGATGAGAATTTGACGTCGCGAAGCATTTGCTGCGAAATTTGCAGGAGTTGAAATGTGTTCAAATTTTGTGAATTCGCAGCGCCAAAAGTTGCCCTGGTGTCACAAGTTTGCGTTTGCTTTCGCGCCGAGTATGAACCGTCCTTAAATGGCAGCTGACTGCGCACTACTTTTATTTTTAACAATGGAACGTTCCATGGATGGCTACAGGGCTTCAATGTCAAATAACTGGCCAAGTTCGCGCAAGGACTATAGTTGACCAATGGCTAATCATAGTTCGACTAACGCTTGCCCGAACTGTGTCTACTCGACGGTGGTTGACTACGCTAGTCGACTATTTGGAACTAGCCTACTGGGGTTGGTTGCTTCGCTGGTAACCAATAGCCGCGCGCATTTATAACGCTAGCAGGGAGCCAGGATCCAGAAGTTTTGCGATGCCATTTTGACCAGCGTTGGACTAGAGACGTTCGCACGTTGCTATTACTGCGCAGGCGTAAGGTACGTCACAAATCAACCACTAGTCGACTAATGGTCCTTGCCCGAACTTGGCCTGTTCTGTCTGTGTAAGGGAATGTGATGAATAAAACTAATTCCTGGACTGAACACAATTTCTAGAATGGAGTAATATGGTAATACAGTTGATTTGTACAACTATGCTGTTATGATTCTATTTTAAAGCGCATTTCAAATGAGCAATGTTCAGTCTGTAGTTTAGTGACAAGATAAAGGAAAGGATTTTAGACATTTTGTGTTAAACGTGCACATCCATCATCAAAAGCTTATTTATGGACCATTATCATGTTGCGGCCATCTTGATATTTCCCCCATTCAAATCAACGTAACCAAAGCGAGGCTGGAAGGAAAAATAGTCTGGTTCCTTTTTGCACAAAAATGTTGTCATTCAGTCTGTCAGTACTGTTATTGGATACAGGGAACCTGACTGAAATGGTGGCCTTCAAATCAACGTAACCAAAGTGAGGCTGGAAAGGAAAATAGTCTGGTTCCTTTTTGCACAAAAACATTATAGATGATACAGTACTGTTATTGGATACAGGGAACATGGCTGAAATGATGGCAGCATGATAAAGGCCTATTGTTTTAGTTTGTTTTTAATCTGTTCATGGTTGAATTTCCGACCCGTAGGCCAAGCTCGTACCATCAGACGAAATCACCATTTTCTATCAAGTCAGTCCGGCCACCGACCGCCTGTCTGACATCATCAGGTCACATGATCAATACATCTTCTCGACCATTAAGCAGAGAATGTACCCATTCCCGGTGGCCGCCGGCGAAGAAATTGTCAGAGAAACCTTCCAGGTAAGATAAGGCTTAAGTTCACGTTTCAGCTCATCATGTGATTCTCACAATCTGTGGTTTCAAATTCTTTCTCATTGTCTGCATTTCTGTTCTGCTTTGTTTTTCCCAGTTTGAAAATATTCTTTTCTTTGTTGCAAACTCTTACTGTTTCGGTCTATTTACTTTTGTACCTCAACAAGTAGTAAATTGATGAAGTGCTTTGTAACTAGCACTGCGATATGTGCGGTGTTCTGGCGAAATGAGTCGGCACAGGCCTTAGCGAAGAAAAATGCAAAACCCAAATGGGGTTTGATTTATTTTTTTTTCCATTTCCAGATTTATTGATATTTGTAATATTTGGTACGGTAGGCCCTATGTCTTCTTTGCACATATTTAAAGAAATAGTGTACAAATCATGAAAAAAAAATTTTAAGGAAAAAACAATTGGCATCTTTTATTTTCATGAATACAAAACTCGATACGTTAAGGGCCTTTTTCTCAGTATTTTACTTTTTTTGACATGTCAATGTGAATTTTAAACAGTCAAAACTTGTCAAAGGAATGTCCAATTGAAGTGCAACAAACAGTTTTGCAAGGAGGATTATATTCTCTTTCCTAATACCCGTAAACCCGCCTGTGCCCAGTTCTGTGTCATTTTGCCAGAACACCCCACGTATAACATGCAATTCAGCGCTCTCTCTAGTTGACGCTACTCGAGCCATACTTGACGCGAGACGTTGTGACCAATGGTTTTTCTAATGATTGAAACTCATTCTCTGCCATGCATCCAGCCCGATCCTGGGCAACTGGAACAGCCTGGTCGTTTTTAAGGCTGATGACGATAAGGCAGGGTTCGATCTTAGCGATATCCCGCTAGCCAAATGTGCATAAAAACAGCGGCGGACTAGTCATTCTCTAAGTAGCTTGCATTGCAAATCAAAATTATTGAGATAATTCATGAAACTTTTCAATGTATCCACAGATTTCCCTTTTTTTAATAAGCCGGTCTTAGGGGGGAAAAAAATCTGATACTGACGTGCATTTGGCTTAATAAATGCCATCGCACCGCTGAATCTTATAGCATATAAGAAAGAACATAGACTGGTGCTGCGTTTTGTATAGGTACATAAAAGCATAAAAAAAGTACAGGACCCAGACTGCAGCATACCGTCTGGCATTTTTATGAATGAGCGTGTCGCCATAGCGCCCTCTATTTAGCTCTGGCAGTTTGCAATGCATAAATGCATTAGGATTCAGACAGTACTGTACGCACGGCGCTCGTTGAAAAACCTTGGATTTCTGCGACTTAATTCACATAGCATAACTTGATCTCATTTTTCTGGGTCTGCATTTCCAGCTTTTCTGTATTTATTTGAGTTCTTTATGTTAGTACTTGCGTTAGTAACACCTGGCCGTGCCGGTTTTCATGGCATCCATGCGCGCTGATACCGCTTGGTGCCGTCCCCCACATACAGTGTTGGGTAATTTCTTTTTGGTATTTCTCCCCCCCCCCCCCCCCCACCCAATTTTTTTTATCTTTTTGAGGGCCCAGTTTTAAAATGTAATTGGGACCAAAAACCATTCGGGCTGAGAACATGATGTGCATGCATCTCTTTTTATTACCATAACAACAAAAATAATAATACAAATGAAATTTATTTTTATTTTTAAGTGGATTTGATTTATTAAAAAATAATTTATCAAATTTATTAATAACGTTTATTAATCAATTTGTGTCTGTTTTAATTCACTTTTATTAGATATGTTTGTTGAAAACACTGACAAGAATGCCCGAGGATAAAGTTATACATGTATGTACACGGTTGCTTTATGACATTCTCGTGCATGTCGTGCAAAAAGAAAAAAAACACACAAAATTCCGTTGAGGACAAGTGAAAAGGCATGCGGGCTAGATAAGAGTCTGGTTCACCAGTCCGGCTGGCTAGTAAAAGGAAAATTAAGGGTGAACCCTGGCTAAGGTCAGCTGCATGTATGATCTGTGAAATCTGGCATGCAAGTTTTCCTCGGATCAGCTGATTTCCTCAATTTTCACTTCACGCTCATGCCATTAAAAACTGAAAAAAACAATGTACAAAGTTTTGTAAAGATTGGAGTTTCCTCATTTTTTGTTACTTCCAAGTTGCATGCCGGTGAAATGTATGTTACGGCTGTACAAGCATTACATTCACTGTGTGGACTTCCAAACAAAAGAGGTCCACATAAACCAGGTAGCAGCGACGTTGTGTGGACTTGCCCACGTCCAGACAATGTTTCCCCCTCTCTGGAAAACAGGTTTAGAGGCATTTTGGGGTTAGGTTATCTGTGGCAAAATGAAGATAAACACTAAGGGGAATCATAGAAAAAACTTTGGGTTGAAGCAGCTTTCACAGTGTGAGTAAAATGAGTTTTTTTCACAGGTTATTCTCAACTACACAGAAACAAAGGAATGTCCACGCGATGTTTGTAAAGTAAACATGTATGTTTTTTGGGGTTCAAGCAGACAGTGACAAGAAATCAGCGACAAGAATTCAGCCCAGCCCGCTATAATGCCATTAATCCCTGCTGCCACTTGCTCGCTTCATGGCTGCATTCGCGCGGGTTACTCTCGAAACTCAAAAGAGTAGGAAAATGTTGCGTGGACATGCACTCGGATCACATTGATCTCAAAGGTCGGATCTCACCAAATCTAGTATGTTGTTGGTAACCGCATATTTTTGTTCTGTACATAAAGGGAATATACACATGTAACATTGTTATAATATGATAATAAATTAAAGGAATGATACAAAATGCCAAGTCCAGTGCTGAGATAAGAAAGACCTACGTGTATTGACCTAGTCACCATGAAGTGTTTTATCAGTGAAACATTTTGGAATACTTTTTTTTAATTAAAATATTCCATCCCTTCCTTGGTGGAGGTTGTACCTCTTTCATGTATTCTTTATTATTTTGCTGTTTCCCCCTTTTTTTCAGCTCAAAGGAGTTGACCTCGAGCTGGTCTTCCTCAAAGGTCAGGTCAAAGGTCAAACGAAATCCACCACATCCAACGGTCCGGCGCCGTTCTGTCGATTTGTCAACATCAAACTCTGCAATGCCCAGCCGCAGTGCGGAGCCACGTCCAGGTGCGGCACCATACTGCTGGAGAACCCCCGGGGGGATTTCCCTATCTCCGTGCCCGAGCTGACCAAGCAAGTGGGCGTGGTCTTTGGGCTCCATGGCGTGAAAGTAGGACTATACAAGTCTGAGACTAAGTCCAACGGTAAGTAAGCCATTTTGTTGATGGACCTTGTTCCAGTTTCATGGGGCAACTCATCACAGAAATGTACTAAGCACAAAAGTATTTGTTCAGCAAGTACTGGGCCCAATTTCACGGCGCTGCTTAGCACGAAAATTTGCTTAGCACAAAAAAGTCTGGCTTATAAAAGCAGGTTACCAGCCAAAACTCCATGTGATTTTCATGCTAAGCAAACAACAGCTGAATACCAATCACAAGCAATATACATCACGTGCAGTTTTGGCTGGTAACCTGTTTTTTTTAAGCCAGACTTTTTTTTTTGTGCTAAGCAAATGTTGTGCTCAGCAGTGCCGTGAAATTGGCCCCAGCTGGTAACCAGCCAAAATGTCATGCAGTCGATAGCTGCTCCTGACTGGTTTTTGCTAAGCACATTAATTTGTTAAGCAATTTCTGCTTAGGGCCTTGTCTCATTTCATATCCGGGATGAGTTCCGAACATGTCGCGGGACGAATCGTTCACTTTGTCCGGAAGAAGCTCTGCATTTGTCCCGCTGGACATGTTCTGGGGAAATTTTCATTAGCAATTGCTTGACTCACCAATACTGATAACTTCATTGCGGGAAGATTGCAGGGAAGTTGTTCAGAATCCGATACAATGCCCTTGGCAGCCCCACGAATTTGAGCCTAAAAACCAGTTTCTGTGTTGCTGCACGGTCAGCGATTGTGCTAATTGTTGCCAAAAAACTTTCACAAATCTAAAGTGTATTTCACGGCATAGACCCGATAATGCTTGCACTTGCATGGAGATTTCAATTGTTCTGACGCTACTTAAGCAAATTCCAAATCTGAAGTGGGCACTCTTTGCTGTGCTTACTGAAGTTTTCATAACGTGGATGAGACCATGTTTACAGGAAATTGTTGCCACACTCTGTTTTACACTGTCATCTTTTATCTATATATACATTTTTTGTGTGTTTTTTTTTTCCATCTCTTTTACAGAATTAACGTCTGAATCGCTACGGGACGTGTTCTCTCTTCATGGCAGCACTGTCTACGCCTTTGTCAAAAAGTAAACGGAAATCACGGAGTTAAATTTTATTATTTAAAAAGTGTTGAATTCTGGCCAATTTTGGTGGCGCATTTCAAACCATGAAATTGTGGTCTGAAAATGACAGCAGTCAGCGTGTGTCTGTTGTATGAATATTCAAGGTTTTGAAATGTACGTGATCTCAAAATGCCGAGTTTAAGCAAACCTCTGGCATTTTCCTCAAAACAGTGACTTTTAGCAAAACAATTTAGTCATACCTTTGTGAGTTTAGAATGAATTTATATTGCCACAGTGACATTTTCCACAGGCGAATTGTCACCCCTGCATTTTACTAAGTGCATCGGGCAAAAGCAATTCCATAATTTTCTTAATTTTTGTGGATCTCATCCGTGCAAAGATTTTTCACTTAGCGCTGAGAGTTGTGAAGTTGTGCACTAACAATGTTACTTGGAAAAAAATAGCAGACGTTTCAGTTAAACCATAACCAAGTTGACAAAGTATATAGGCATGTTAAAGGGAATATACAACATTTGCAACATCAAAAAACAAAACTACAAAATTATTATGAAATACCTTTATGGACTGTTAGTGAAGACAGTCTTAAGCATCCTGAAAAATCAGGGCACCTGGTGTGCCTACATTTTCAAGAAAAGTGGTATTTTTGTATCAATTTCCAATGCTGGTCGGCCGACCAGTGTTGGAAAAAACTGGAGCTTTTTTTCAAATACTGCCCCCAATTTACCACATTTAGTTAGTCTGAATTTTGTTGCAATCGATGACACATCTATGAACGGGTACAAGCCTTCTGGACTAGTTCCTTGACCTTACAATTCCCCGACGTCTATAAATTGCTCCATTTCAATTTAAGTGGGGTCAAGGAACCAGACTAATAAGAACATGATCTTTTTTTCTTGGTTTTTCCAGCATCTACGAATTCTCAATTTCAAACAAGTCAGTGTAACAATATTTGCTATGAAATACTAACCCCCCAAATCCATCCAACTTTGAAAATTACAGCAAAAGCAAATGTTTTATATTCCCTTTAAGAGTGCAGATATGGATAAAAGATTGTAGTGGGCTTGTTGAATCGATTGGGACGAATCCAAGTTAAGTTTTAAAGCACTTGAAGCCGGCCTCAGGTTGACCCACAATCTGCTTGCGCTGCGACGGAAGCGTCGGCATCAGGCAGAAAAATAATGCTCAGGTCACAAAACTGAGAAATCGTGTGATGGTCGCGGAACATGCCGCAGAAGTTGAAATTTTTCTACTTTTGCGACTGTTGATTTTTTGAGCGCCAAACTGATGCTGATCATTTTTATATCGTCGCAGTTACACTCAGGTCGCACAAAATCGGCGACCGAGTTGTTCCCGACCGTCGCAGCTCAGACACAGCTTGATCCTGAAAAGTCAGTCACTGACTGATCTGTGTGGTCGCAAGGTCGACCTGAGGCCGGCTTAACATCAGTGGATACTATTTTAAGGTTAACACTGGTGTTGGTTTATGGGGTCCATACAGAAAGGCGAATGTGAAGCCATTTTGACATCTTAAAACATTCACTGCGAAATTTGCCAGAGTGGAAATGTGTTCAACTTTTGTGAAATCCCACAGTGTTAACTTGCACCGACGTCACAAATTTGTGTTCCGTTCGCTTTCCGGTATGAACCGGGTTTTACTATGGTGTATTTTCCTCTTTCAGTTTCAGATAGATTATATATTTTTTTGGCAAGGGTCCTCTAGATATACCAAGAAATAAGTGATTATACTTGGACATCTTTATTTCCTTTTTTGGAATGGTATACAAATAATGAATGTTGATGAGTGCAATGGTGAGAATATTTTGATGATTTGAAAGATTGTAGACGGTCAGAGCATACTGACCGGAACATCGAGTTTATACCTCTGGTTCTTTTCAGAACCATTCTCTTAGTTGAGAAATTATTCGCGCATGGTGTTTCCGCAAACCTTTCATTATTCCATCTTTCAACGAATGAAAATATTCTCACCATTGCACGAATGCAAAACATTCATTATTTTGTTTTATATAACATCCAAGTAGATCTTTGTCATTTCATTGGAGGATAAAACTTTAAGAACAAACAAAACTCACAATCATATCCACTTTTTCAGCTTGTTCAAGGCTAACAAAGGTTTCAAAGTAAAATCATTGAAAAGAATGAAAATTAACATTGTTAGTTCTTAAAGTAATGCAAAAAAAATCATCAAGGCAACTGCATCAACTTCAAACACAAATTTTGTACTGCTATAACGCATGATATGGTCCAAATAGCGCAAAAATCGTATAGGGCCGGGCCACTGCACGTCTTAGTGTGCGGCGGCGTGCAATAGATCAAAAGGGATGGGACGAAAATGCACGGTTATGACGTAGGCCGTGCAATGGTTTGATTAATGAATGCCGTGTGACCTACAATCCTCCAATCAAATGACAAGGATTTACTTGGGTGTTATATAATGGCATATATGGAATGGGTATGTGTCAAACCCCTTTATTCATCTTCACTTTGTTTGAAATGTACAAATCAAGTCTGTGGGATTTTCAATTTGTGCATTTGCACAAAGTTCATGGTTTGGTGCCTGCCTGGGGCTATTTTCATTTTAAAGAAACTCTTGACCTAGTCTGATAATGCTGATAGTATCGTCACACTAGACTCTGCTTTCGTAAGCAGACATGATTAACTAACAATAATATTTGAATGTGAGGGCGATAATAACTTTTCAAATGTGCAAGAATATATGCAGTTTGTGTATTAAAATATATAACCAGACATCCGACAAAAGTTGTGTGTTTTTCTACTTTTGTCTTGGAGCCAACTTTTGTTTGTACCGCCTACAATCATGTAACTGCTCCGGTGATAGTTTATTTTGCAAGGATCTTATTGGATAGCTATGTATTTGCATAATAGGTGACCAATGATTAGAAACGTCACCGTTCGCATGACGCGTGTAATGTGCACACAATTAACATGCATATTCATGACGATCAGATGACCACAATGCTTTGCCTTTTCGTTGTAGGCAGCAAACATAATTGCCAATGATAAGTGCCCTTGTCATGCCAAAAATCGTCCGGTAGTGTCCGCTTAGCGTGCATTCTATTGCGTGCTTACGGGTAGCTAGCTTTCAAGACGTCACAAATGAAATACATGTAGTTTTCATCTAATTTTCCTTTTTTAATTTTGTTTCAACTGTAACTTTTCTAGTGTTATTTTTAAACTGATTTGTAGAATTTGTATTGATTTGATATTTCTGACATTTAAATTCACATTTTGGGGAGTAAAAGCTTTGTGTTTTCGTGCCAGGTCACCGATGCGTGTTAGAATACAGTGTAGACTAGATCGTGTGATAGTGGTCAATTTAGACCACATCTTGAATATGGGAGCACTGCTGGAAAGCCTTATTCATGTACCACCAAAAACATATCTTTGGCTTAAGAGTCCAGAGACGAGCGGCACGTTTCCTCTGCAAGGATTTTTTCAAGAAAAAGCAGCGTGAAACACAATGTTGGCTTAGTACTTGGGTTGGACATCGTTTGAAGAGAGGAGGCCGAATCAAATCAACTAACATTTTTGTAAATACACTGCAAGGATCAATGTTTACATGCAATCTTTTCTGCCAAGAACTGCGAGAAAGTGGAACAAGCTACCTCAAGATACCATAAATGCCCCAAACCACAATCAATTAAATCCCTGATTTAGTTTCATTTGCCTCTCTGCAAGCCTCTTCGTCGGACTTCCTTGAGGAGTTCTCAAGAGGATAACCACTTAAGTACCAAGTATAAGCCCGCCCCCACCTTATACTTGATGGGGGCGAGCTGACGTCATCCGATGAAAACATCATTAGGATCGAGCAAAAGCTTTCACCGGGAGCACTATTTGGTAACTTTTTACACCTGCAGGCGACGCGGGTTTTTTTTCTGTCTTTTTTCTTAGCACATCCAAAAAAGCATTAGATTATTAAATCACATTTTGTATGCAGTAAATGTATTATGCATGTCCCTCTTTCGACAATATTCAAAACAATGCGTCATAAGCTCACAAAACAAGCACAATATTTAGTCAGTGCTCAAAATAGAGGATTTTAGACCCCGCAGCTATTTACGCAGTCCTTCGGTCAGAGGCTTCAGGGAACCACGCACCGATTGACGTCAAGCTTAAAGCACTGCATTCATACGTCTTTGCACCAAACAGGATACTTGGCGATTTTTCATGTCATTGTATAATTTGTTTGAATTCGATTATAATGCTTTAACTTCTTAGAAAGGTTGTTCACCTTTGGCTTTTTTAAACAGCTGCAAAGGTTTGCATAAGCTGTCTTTAGTCAGTCAATTTAATTTACCGGCAGTCCCTAAAGTTACTCTCCCGTACTCTACATTTTTCGAAACTCATCCCCGAAAAGGCCACAAACAAAGGGGTAATCATGAACAAAGTATGAACTTAATGACCCTTGTTATGGTTTTATCACACACTAAGGACAGTAAATTCCAAACTGATTACTGTCAATTGATAATCCTTCAGGATTCAACACTTTGTCCACTCAGTGCCCTGGTACACATCTTCAGAGGTGGCGCATAATCTTTCATGGCCCATCTTATCACTGCAGGCTGATCACGTAAATTGTCCGCCTCGTGCCAAATGCAGGCCTGCACATCCTGAAGGCTGGGGTGGGAAGTGAAATGCCGAAAAGCTTGTTCTTTAAATTCATATACCTCCCATCCACCCCCAAAACACCACAGCCTAATTATCATGATTAAGTGAGATTACCGTTCATGTGAGTCCCCAAAAGTTCCCAACAGTGATTCCCAGAACATTGAGTATGTGGGCCAGGACACCGTCTTGTGCCCGCCCGCCAATTATGTTGGAAGATATACATGCATCCATTTCATAGGTGTTCGAAATGCAACTCGCGCTGCGGCACACTATGGAAATCCTATTTTGCTCCTGTTTTCTTGAAGATCCATGCATACCTTAAATTAGCTAATTGCCTTATTCCTGGTTGTGTTTACGATGTTTTACCCAAAACTGTCCCAAGAGGGGTTTTACAATTATATACATGTACTGTCATCATGTTCATAACGGAGGCTTATACCGGAGTCTTAGCGCACGTATCTACCAACAATTAGGCACTCTTGAAAGGCGCTGGAAATTATTTTTTTATTAATAAAAAAGGTAAATTAAGTTTATGAGAAATGTGAGACCCAATATGTAGCGCCATAGGCCTAAGGGTTTACAAGGTGCTGCGGCGCATATTGCAGTCACTGCCAGAAACACCCGGGGCAAACCCCTTCTCTATAAGGGTTGGTTCTTTCATTTCACAATACATGGGACCTACGGCTTTACGTCCCATCCGAAGGACGAAGCAATAATGGTAAAGTGCCTTGCTCAAGAGCACAAGCACCGTGTTCCCACGGTCACGGATTCAACCCATGTACCACGGCACACGAGTCGAACACCATAACCATTGGACCACAGCACCCATCATAATATCCCTTTGTTAGTGGGTCACATGTTTATGGGAAACAAAAACAATTAGCCCTAACTCAATTTCTAAAAGACTTTCTCAGAGGCTTTCATACGGTTAACGCCCCCCCCCCCCCAAAAAAAAGGGGGTGTGAAATAAAACGTACAAGTTGAATACATGTATTAGTTTGTATATTAAACAGTGAAAAGACTTTAAAAAGGGACAGCTGAAACGATGAAGTTGAGCTATAAAGGTTGGTTAGGCCCCAAAAAAAAGTCTCCGGTTTCTGGTATGGAGCTTGCCCCAAAAGTGGTGCGGCGACGCGGCTTTTTTTTTTTTTACCTGTTTTTTTTTTTTTTTTTTGGCTTCAAATGTCGGCTGATGACTGCAAATGGTGCCCGACTAAACTTAGTGCAAATATATGGGAGTCCAGAGAGGCCACATAAAGCTTATTCTCGATCATAACCCCATCTAAAAACACGTTAAAATTGTGCAGCAGCAGGATTCCAGTCAAACCAGTGAGTTTGGCGGTTTTGAGACATCATCTTGTATTGGAAAAAAAACTTTTTCATTTTGCCGACGCGCATGGCTGCGGCGACGCGCGCGCATACCAGAAACCGGAGACTTTTTTTTTTGGCCTTAATGAAAATTGATTACTTTCAAAGCAACACAGTGAAGATACAGTGCTAGATGTAGGCTAATACGAACAGTACTATGCTGGGTTCTTGCACTATCTTGCAAACTTGATAACAAAGTGCAGTCGACATGATGAAATAATGAAAACATAGTTTTCTATTGAGTTTCTGGTTGCCTCTTGTCAGTTGAACAATCATCGGTATCTCATACGAATGTATATCCTGTTTCTAAGAAACATGCACTGGTCTGTTTCCAAAGTCATAGGTCTTGAAAAAATATTGATAACACCGGTGGCATCTACAATGTAGACTATACCGGTGTTATTTTCTAAACTACTGTTTTTGCAGCTGATAATAATGAATGTTCCCTTTCTGCGATTCGTAAATAAAACATGTAGTATCATCTGGCAACTTAAAGATGTATTTCCCGTACTATTTTCGAGTTTCATCCCGAAAAATAGATGATTTTTTTTAAATTGCTATAAAGCAATACAAAAGTTAGTCACTTTGGAAGGAGAGGACGACCGAAAGAAATCGGCTCATGTTTAGTTCATGAATTGTTACTTTACAATTTCGAGTCTCGGGGTAGGCTGGTTGCCGTCCAGTCACCCAACAATCAGTATCGATAGTGTACGGGCCGGGAGCCAGTCTGCTTGCAAAGCGAAAATTTGTTTGTGACCAAACAAAAACTTTCTTTTCAGAGGTTTGCAGACGCCCAAAGCACATTTTCCTTAATAACCACCCCACCATTCAGAAAATATACCCCCCCCCCCACCTCCATTGAGAAAAATATTTTGCTCGTCACATTTGTAATATTTTCAAATCATTCTTTGCGCAAACCGTGTTTTGGTTTTGTTTGTTTTTGTTTGTTTTTGTTAGAGGAATAGACAATTTCGAAACATCTATGTACTAAAACTGAACGTTTGGGAAAATCTCAATATGGGATACTTCTTCTTGTTGTTGTTGTTGTTGTTGTTTTTAAATTGACTCGTCTTTGAAGCCGAAAAGTGGACAACCATCTGTCGTTTTCTGAAAACCGAAATGTTGACTTTATTTAATCGAGAGGGCCTGATGATTATTTTTTGGGAGGGGGGGGCAAACAATAATATACAGTTATGCATTGTGGCTTTTCCATCTTGTCTTCGCAAAACATTTTATTGATGATAACACACTACGGTGACAAGGTTACATTTTACGCCGCAATATAGACACGAACAAAACTAGTCGCTTTGAAAACTAAGCTAGAAGCTCAATATAGCAAAGCAAAGCTGACCAAACAACTACATCTACGAAACTACCCGACTAACCGGCCACCGCAAAGTGAAGTACGCCGCGGCAACCAACTAAAATAGATCACGCAAAACGGATGTTTTTCATCGAAAAGGGTTATTACCCTGTTAGTTTCTTTTCCGTTCCCGGCGTGGAATTTGTTGTTTGTGATCGAAATTATCGTGTGGGCTTAATATTCAACGATGGACCAAAATACCCAAAGAAGTGCCGTATCGTCTTGTGGAGGTATGTCAAGCGCATTATAGTTTTAATGTATTAATGGTTTCAACCCGAACTTCACTGACCCGACCGCATAACCGCTATGTACGTCAATGAAGATAATCTCCACCGAAACAATAGGCAGCTGTTATGAAAACACACGAACAAATCGCCGATAAGTCATCGATTTAAAAAGCAATAACGCGCAACAAACTTTTAAATATAGTCCAGGATATTATTCATCAAACGAAATACAAATTATTTGTATGACGCACGAAAATATTTGCCGAAGGTTTGTGTACGTGTCATCAGAAGGTCAACAGAGGGCGCGTTTTATGTCGGAAAGTTTGCGGTATTGAACCTTTCGATACGGTCGACGTCAGCGCATTGTTCACCAAAAAAAAGGTCCAAGATCAATGCATGTGGTCTCCTATGCATTGCCCGGGGGGGGGTCCGGGTTATGCCACCCGGATAATTTTAAAATCTACGACTTTCTCCTGCATTCTAAGGCAATTAGAGAATACATTTTAGGATTCCATTTATTTTTGGCCCTCCATCAGGAACATCAGGAACATCGACCTTACCTCCCACACATCTCAGACAAGATCAGGGAGAGGAGGATGGCTCTGGCGGGCCATTGCATCCGCCACCTGGAGCTAGCAGCCCACAACACCATCATGTGGGAGCCGACTCATGGAACTGCCAGGAGGGGGCGGAGACGAGCCACGTACATCGACACGCTGCGACGGGATGTTGGTGACACAGGGGAGCTGAGGACCCTAATGCTGGAGATAGGGATCCCTTTGAGTGGAGGGCCGCGATCAAGTCCCGAGTTGGTGTAGGCTAGGCTGCACCCTCGCATCGCATCGCATCGCATCGCATCGCATCGCATCGCATCGCATCGCATCGCATCGCATCGCATCGCATCGCATCGCATCGCATCGCATCGCATCGCATCGCATCGCATCGCATCGCATCGCATCGCATGTTGGCCCTATTTAACTAGTATCATAATACTAGAAATAAATGTTGATGAAATTGAACACTGCAACTGAAATTATAGTCAGCGGCTGAACGCAGTGGCGTAGCACGGTCATTTTTATTGGGGAGTAATATTTTTTTTAAAGGGCACTTGCACATCCGTGCTGAAATGCAGACACGTTTTTGTCCCCGGGACACTTGGCCTTTTAACAAGGGCACTTGTTAAAAAAAAGGCACTCTTTATACAAAATATTGGGGGGGGGGGGTAAGCGCTGGTACGCATATGAAAAGAAGACATTACTTCTTCTTTTTTTTCAGTGCAAAGCTGGATTGTTATCGTTATAAAATGCAATAGTAACTTTTAGCCATATGTTGTCCAATTAAGAACTTCTAAGACTTAGTTTGTTAACCCCCATCGCAGAAAACTGGAAAGGAATCCCCTTCCCAAATCTGCCCTGGCCTGAGTGTGCGGCACCACAAACCATTGCGCACATGTTAAGTGCATAGTTTTTGGAATATCAAAGCTGACCTCGTCCACCCGTACTCCAGTGTTAAACCAGTCACAATGCCCTGTGACTTCTTTGTTTATTTTCATCTATTGCGATTGCGATTCTATAAATAAATCCATCAATTAAAGTCTGTCCACATATGTCCACATCATATCACCATCACAGGGCCTCACCGCTATGACGTCAATGTTGCCAGGCGATGTCTCGCTGGACATTGAACCAATCACGAGCGCCCTTCTATCAACCCTCGGTTGATAGGAGAAGGTGTCACGTGACAGGCATGGGCGGATCGCACAGAACGTGTACGGACGCCATAGGTTTGTGTACAAACTTCAATGCATTGTGGATTTGTGCGTAAGCTTCCACCGTACCGCCGTACCGTACCGCGCTCTTTTGCACGGCACTTCGCGTAGCCAAGCGAGGATCTGCTTGCAAAATTTTCGTCCAAGATTCCTGATTTTTGCATCCCTGGTCGTCCCATCTGAATGCCAGTGTTCCATGCACGCGGGAGGGGGGTTTACCGAGCTGTTGGAGGAGTTTTGAGGCACTTTACGAGGTGAAAGTCGAGGGGCTTTCCAAGGATTACATATTGGCAGGTGAGGTTATTTTTTACCGTGCATGGTCGGGCTACATGCTTCGTGATGCATCATGTTTTGTCATATGTTTGATGTGTAAACTACATTTTTACCATGTACGTACGTGTAGCCATTCCATTTGCATTTCTAAAATAAAATACCAGCCACCGTGGTTAATTCAGCTCCTTCAGCTCAGTCACTGCTCACTGGAGATTTTCCGGACCAGCTTGAAACCACTCGCCCTCCTCCGCTAGTCATGGCTCATGCTAGTTAAGTTAGGCCGGGGCCTATGGTAGCCCGACTGCGTCTGGCCGTACAGTACTATCGCAAGCTCTGTAGTACAGAGCTTGCGATAGTACTGTACGGCTTGCGATAGTACTGTACGGCCAGACGCAGTCGGGCTAGGCCTATGGCATCGTTTTTACTTGCACCGAGTTCTTAACTAGTTTACTGCACTCTTTGACTGCATTATGACTGAAATGCTTAAAACTCTTCGTTGATATAGAGTAAAAGTGTGACCATTTTCCTTTGCATAATTGGAGTGCAGATTATGACCGAAACGCTTAAAATTCGCGTCTAAATACTGCGCTCGCGGTGCAAATGGCATCGGCGCGGTATATGTGACAGAGCCCTCGCTGATAAACAGTAAATTTCACTTTTCATCCAGATCGTATTGTAAACCTTAGCATGCGTAGTACATGTACCTCGATCTTGGCCCATTTTGAGGGCGAAATCTGATGTTTTTGTTGGCAAGTGGTTGGGTTTTTAATTATTTGAAAAGTCATGTCTGACATTTAAGTTTGGCCCTACTACCGCCAGACCATGTCCAAATGTTAAAAAAAAAAGGCGATAGGTAGGGCCCAAGTTACTCGGGCTACATTTTCACCAAATCTTTGACTAAGTTGTCTTTATTCATGCCTTATTTCAATGAATAAAACGTAGATGGCAATCATTAATTCAAAAATTTTGATATTTGACTTTAAATAAAACACTAATAAGACATAAACAAATAAGTACATCAAACTATGAATGAGCCAAACAAAAATTTCCTATCAATTTCCTATCAAATGTTTCATCAAATGAATAAAACGTAGATCTATGGCAATCACTATTTCAAAAGTTTTGATATTTGACTTTTTAAAATAAAACACTAATAAAACATAAATAAATAACTAAATAAACTCTGAATGAGCCAAACAAAAATTTCCATCGATTTCCTATAAAATGTTTCATCAAATGAACATCGCCCTTAATGACTCTACCCATGCATTGACAAGGCGATTGCGTAGTTTATGCGGGCCCTGTTCCTGGAGCGAACATCCAACCTTAGGTTATTGGACCATTTGTACTTGCTCTATGATTGGACTAACGTTAGTTTATGCATGGAGGAATAATCCTCCATGGTTTATGGTTAATCGTGTTAGTGACATTTAAAACCGACATGAGTGTCGTTGATAGCCCCACTAGAGTGGCTTGTATATTGCTGCACTATATCCTAGAGCCACACATCACTGGTAGCCCAAGTGAGCTGAAATTGCCAACTTTGCAGGCCCCCCCCCCCCCCCCCCTTGTGCACTCCGGGTCGATTAGGTAATTTTACCTCCAGTCTAGTACTACTTCAGTCTAATTTTTGGACAAATTTACAAGGCATCTTTCTGGATTCGATATACCGGTATGCAGTACACGTTCATAATGGTTTTCGATTGAGCCCTCAATTTTTCAATTTGTTTGCATAAAGTAACATTGGACTGAACAGTGTCAAAACAGAGAATATGGTTGGTTAGGCGAAGTAAAAAAAATAAAATATGTTTCTCGTCCCCGCCCGCTTCCTTTTTGGAGGCCGCCTGGATTTTTTTATTATTTTTTATTTTTGAAAAATGCAGTAAAAAACACCGAAAAAGTCCACAAATTCATCGGAAAATAAATACATGTATCTGCGAAATATGAGTTGTATTGTTGACCAATATAACTCTAAATGTCACTGTAAATACATATGTTCAGTTCTCTTGTCAAACTTGTCTTTCGTTTTATAAGTGTCTTTGAACAGTGGAAACACCAACGGTTGCAGGAAATTTTAAGATGACGGCCATCTTGAAAAAATAAAAAATAAAAAATAAAAAGCCCCTCTTCCTCCTTTTTTTCAAAAACCCGGATGAGAAACATGTTTTTTTTATTCGGCCTTAGGCTATTTATAACCTTGCAAAATCTTAGGTTTCCATTTATCGCATTCTTATGAACAACTTTTTTCCTGAGCATCACATGGAAACTAGACATCATGTACTACATGGTACAAGAAGGAATGTGACTGCAATGTGCACTACAGTTAGCCTTTGCGCAATTTCAACTTCGTGTCGCACAACAAGAGTTTACAATATTTTTATGAGAGATAAAACAAAGCAGATGAATGTCTGGGGGATGTGGAAACCAAATCCGCATTCTGCAATTTTTCACCAAGTCGAACAGAAGATGGAAACTTTTGACAAAGTTGGAGCAGACAAAACGTCTTAAGCCATGGTGCTGTTAAAAAAAAATTAAAAAAAATAAGAAAAGAATTAAAAAAAAAAATAAATCCATTCCTTTTTTTGCATTTTAATACTTCAAAATAATAAATTTTCTTTGATTTTGTTGGTATCCCGCTATGATTTTGCACGCATGTGGCTAACTGTTGATCTCTCAAAACTAAATCGTAAATATAAATTAATACACACGTGTTGAAATTGCGAAAAGGCTTAAACTGGGTGAAAGTGCTCCATAACCAAAAATAATCTGATAATGTTCTGAACAGCAAAACCCAGCTTGTTTACATATATTTTGGATAAAAACAAACAAACAAACAAACAAACAAACGGAATAACTGTCAAAGGTGTGATGATTTTGCCCACAATATCCAGAAATAGTTTGCCTGGCAATATTTTTGAAGAAAAGACAAGAACACTGGTTACTGGACTTCAACATGCTACGCTTGTCCCTCAATGTTTTAAATTTCTTCGTCTTGAACAGATCACATTTTTTTTTACACTCTGTATTATTCTTATCTATTTTTGGAGTTAAGTCTTTGAAATTATAAAAAAAAATATGAAATACGTTCCATTCTTTACGTCATTTCTGGGAAAAATGGGTCTGATACAATCAATTATCTCGGGCCTATTGGCTAATGAGTCATGGTTTTACACATATTTATTTGTGAACGACCCGTTGAGGTAAATATCTCTGCGACTGATCGTGCGTCATTTGTCACTTGGCCGCTGTGCCTGGCTTTCATCTCAACCAATTAGTGAATAACAGCGCAAGGTTATTTGTAATTTTCTTCGTACGCATTGGAACCCCAATTAATTAACGGATACGGAAGGTCTATTAATAAACAATGAGTTGTATAATTGAGTCGTTCAGTAATGAATTGCCGATTTAATTAATTCGAAGTACTGTCATGACTGTATTTGGAGATATGAGTAGTGGGCACAAGTTTTGTAGCCAGTGACTGATAATGTACAAGTACACATGTACTGGTATGTATTGACCAGAACAAAAATGTATACAATAGATTATGTACACGTACGTGTACATGTTTGTAATGGTGACTAAAATGCCAGCACACAATGCACATTTTGTATCGCACTTCTAAAATGCACCACTTCCCTTGATAAAACGATAATTGATTGTTCAGCTTTCTATTGTTGTGACGCACACATTGTATCATGTATTCATGAGCATATCGTATAAATGCATACTGTATTGTTAGCTGAGATCGGACCATGTACATTTGAACATGTACATATTTATGTACGTGTAGATGTACACGTATACAGTGTCAATGTACATGTAGGTGCATCCAAAGTTCAAGCTCAGAAACTGTTTACTTGCTTGACATGTACTTTTCTAGACATGTTTTTTAAATTGTGAATTGGAAAAGACATGCAAGTTTTATCCACAATCATATTAAATTTCTTGTACTGGGTCGGTGTCAAAGACGTAGCATTTGGACGAAAAGCCATCTCGCACTGGATTTAAGAATAAAGAACCCTCAAAGTACAATGTATGAATGATTTCATTTTATGTTCTATGTTTAGTTCTTGGCCCTAAATTACATGTAGGTTAACCCCAAACATTCCAATGGGAGCACGATGTTTAACCCTGTTGCTTCCAGTAGGCTTCTTGGACAGCTTAGAGCACAGTTGCTAAGCACTCTGGTAAGATAATTTTGTGAATGGTTTCAAAGATTCAATTTACATGTAATCAGGGTTCGACCTTAATTTTTTTTTGTTCACTGGCCAGCCGGGCTACTGAAACAGACTCTTAACTAACCCGGGGGCATTTTCACTAGCCCACATTTTTGTTTAGCTCAAATACAAAATGGCATATTTTCATGATTTTCAGGCTCAATTCTGAGGCAATTTTGTCAGTGTTTTAAATAAACAGATCTAATAAATTAACCTTTTAAAACAGTTGAAAAAACTAGACACAACCTGATAAGGTTTTCTTTCCGAATGTAATGATTTATTTCTTCCTGTCCCTTCATCTTTGCTGTATCCCAATAATATTTTGACTCGCCAGCCGGGCTACTTAAGGAATAGGTTGGCTAGCCCGCCGCTGTTTTAACTAGCATTTGGCTAGCGGGCTACTGCTAATTTCAAACCCTGTGTACATGTAAGTACACTTTAGTAATATGATGTTATGGACCTGTGCGAGGAACCACTGCACAGCATTTTTACCCCAGCATTCCAAAATCCTCCAAAATCCTCTTTGCAAAATGGAGCTTTGCAGGATTGATGCTAGATGGCCTATGGCAAAAATGTGTGGCTGATTTTGCAGGATGCACTGTGTCAAGGTCTCACTAGGCTGGACATTTCAGAAATTTAGGCCTAGATTATATTTGAAATCCATGCTGCTCCAGGATGTCACTGGCTCTGCCTCAACATTGACAGTGATTGCTGGAGGATTTTGCAGGATTGAGGCAGTGGTCACTCCTCCAAGGACCACAATCAAGAAATAACGGAGGATTTTGGAGGATTGAGGCTGTATGC